ATGAAAATCTATAAATATGTGTTGATTTCGTAAATAAATGATCTGTTGCCTGGCCCTTGACTTCTGTTGTTACAAGGTTATTCCATATCCACAACGTAAACATTCATTGACTTAAAATAATGATTTCAGTTTTGGCCACTTCCTAACAGTCTGCATCACTCTAAAATGGTTTACGCTACTATAAGATTTACTCGTGAATCTCCTGTCTCTTATTATTTAAAAGTAAAAACGCAAAGTAATTTAGATATATGAAGTTAGAATACTTCATGGATTGAAATCGAAACCTGTTTTATATTTAATAATTTATCAGTGTGTTTAATAATTCCCACACTTATATATAACAAACCATTTAGCACAGTTAATATAAAATATTTTTTTAAATCAGAAACTTAAGGTTACCTCTAAAAGTTGACTGATCTACAAGAATTTTTATTAAAACAATCACTGCATTCCATTCACCGAAATAAATAAATAAATAAAAAGAGGGACCAATTTCAGAAATAAACAAAAGATAAGTACCATTTCTAGTATACAAAGAATCATTTTATCTTTTAGACGACAAGAAACTAATTTTTGGAAATTTACCTAGAATTCACTTTAAAACTGAGCATATCACTTCAACCACTGTTTTTTGTTTCATTCGTCTCTCTTTCTCTCTTATCCTTATTCTGCTAACTTCCTTTCAGTGTTAATATTTCCCATTTTTACCACTTCATTTTTGTTCCATTTGTTTATATGTAATACACTCTAATTCTGGTAAACAAGTTTCTTTTTGAAACTGTTCGAGTTAGGCATTATATATATATATATATATATATATAGGTACATATTTACTTAAAATAATCCTGAGGAGAAAACTATGGGTCATTGAATTCGCGTGACTTGTTTCACAGAAATATTTTTTTTTGACAATAAGTTGAGTGCTACTTCTTCTTCTTGGAAATTCTTATCCAGTTAAGAAGAATGGAAAAGAAATAATAGTAGTAAAAATAATAGAGTTAGCACCAATTTTCAAAACTTTCTCATTTACGACACTATCAAACAAATTCAATTATTTCATTTACAGTGGTATAGCAATAAAGCCTTCTAGTCATCAATGAGAATCAATTTGCGAATAAGCCGGAAAAAGAAAAACAAAATTGTTTACAGCTATTTCATGAGGTGCATGTCTAAATTATTTGTTCATTGAATGAATTTATATTCTAAGTGTACATACATATATTCTCGCTTCCTGTATATCATTTATTTTATCCCCTTTACTATTTTCAATTCAATAACCAATGTAGTTACATTTGATATATAACGTGTTTCTTGACTTGTAAATTTTAGACTATACTAAATATATTTTCAAACTGTGTTGAATTTTCACCCTGAACAGTATAATTTGTAAACTGCGAATGAGATTTCACATATATTACTACCAGTCCATTCAAATAGTCAGATATAATTCGGGTGGTTTCAACTGAGTTAAAACGTACACACACCGGTGAGCTCAGCCTCAGACGAGTTGAACGGTTTGCAGGTACTACTGGCACATACCATCATACATAGTACTAGCTTATTTTTCGAGTCATTTTTTCCACAGACTTTATTTAAAGTGCTAATCATTTCTTAAGGAATATTTTTATATACTATTCCATGAATAAGAAAATGACGTAAACAGCAAAGAAAATTTTCTTTTCAATGATTCATTTTCATAAGCTGTACAATCGTAATTATATTTAATATAGAATTTTTAAGACCAATCAGATACTGGTAAAATTTGTCCTCGAAAACCTAACCTAAGGTGTAGTCTAGAGAGGGGGACTAATTGGAAGTTAGAAAAGGGGACATAATAGATGTGAGGAAATGACCATTCCATACGTAATACGTTTACGTGAGAAAATTCTACCAGTATCTGATTGGTCTTATGAGTTCTTTAATAAATATGAGTACAAGTATTGGTTTTGTAGGGATTTTGTTTGATTGCATGGAGGATTTCATCATGAGCTGACATCAGTTAAAGAGCCACTGGAAAACCTGGGAGTAATGGACAACTGTTTCGTCATAGTTTGGGCTTCTTCATCTGTACGCACCCGCCGGGGTTCAAACCCAAGACCTTCTGGTTACAAGGCCAGCTCGTAGACCGTTGAGCCACTGGGATGCGATCCAATGGTCCTTGAATTCTAACATCTGCCAATTCACGATATAGCACAACCATTTCGACATGTCTTCTTTTTCGATGAGTTACTGCCTCATCTTCAAATTCAAGAACCATTGGATCGGGTCCCAGCGGCTCAATGGTCTACGAGCTCACCTTGTAACCAGAAGGCTCTGGGTTCGAACCCCGGTGGGTGCGTACAGATGAAGAAGCCCAAACTATGACGAAACAGTTGTCCATTACTCCCAGGTTTTCCAGTGGTTCTCTAACCGTTGTCAGCTCATGGTGAAATCCTCCATAAAATCAAATATAATTACGCCTGTATAGCTCATGAAAATGAATCGTCGAAAAGAAAATTTTCGTCTCTATTTACGTCTTTTTATGATGACTCAATGTGGGAATATCTCATGAATATCTTTTATAGAAAATGGGATTAAAAAACAAAATTTAAACAAATACGCATTTTCGGTTGCATCTGACCAGGCTTTACAAATACGTAACATTATTAAGCATTAACATTTGATACCAATACAGTCAACATACTTCAAGTTCAAGTATATGAATTAATTGATTAAAATCAGGGTGAACGTATTAATAATAAGGATAAATTCATGAGTGTTTGTCAAATCTAGATAGTCAATCATTGTGAATGTGTAAATAAAATGTGTTTATTTCTAGAGGGTACAGAGATAAGATAACTATTATATCATAGCAATTAGATAAGAGAGTATTTGATAAAATTAATTTGTATTTCCATTGATTGTTTATGCTGAATCGAAATGCCTGCTCTCCACTGACATTTTCTATCCTAGTATGGACACTTTTACGCTTGAACGTTTGAAACGACAGGTTCATGGATCAAATTCCAATGAGAAAAACATCACTCACTGGGGACATGTGATCCAAGGATATTTTAATTATGGGTTTCAAATGGTGTGTTAAAATTAACTTTATGACTGGTCTCCATGATGTGCCCTGCACTGGGAAACGTTGTACGTCTGTTTTTGTGATCTTGCTGTTACTTTAGAATGGCCTTTGTTTTATAATTTTGACACTGGTTTGCAAGGCTTATCTTCAAACTCCAAAGAACGTATGTTTCTCTTGAAATCTGATTCCACACACCAGCCTACTCTGATTCAGGACGCTGATGACCTTTTGTAGGAATTTAATTGGCACATCGTTTCATCACCGGATTGCAACCGTTGTTACATTGTCTAATTTTCAGTATAATGGAATTTTACTGGTCAAGTTTGAAAATATATCTTGTAGACGAGTGCTAGTAAGTATAAGGCCCAAACCTATGCTTATTACCGATTATCTCTGGCCATTTAAAATCAATTTATGATGTACATTGATGGCAATTCACCATACCTGACCGAGATAATTCCGTTAGCAGTAATAAGTAGACAGCATCATTATTCGGTGTAAAACATATATACTTTCAACAACCAATCTACTTATCTTTATAGTGAATTTTGTTGTAGACTGATCTTATAATCTCATAATAAACTTTGACAGTAACATCACACCAATCAAAGCAAAAGATATGTAATAAAACTAAAACAACTTACTCTTTGGTGCAATCGAAAATCGATAGATATCCTTCTCATGTTACCTCCAACTGTGTATACAAATTTACATGTATCTGCGGGAGCAGTTACATTGGAAGGACAGAAAGAAGGGCATATCTACGATTTTCTGAACATGTACCAAAAAGCTTACGTCTAAAGGGAACAAATGCTTTAAATAGTGCCATCACCAGGCATCTTCTCGACACGGGTCATGAGGTGGACGTTGAAAAGTCGTTCAAAATTATCAATAAGCAAAATAGCTCCATTCTCCTTAAGTTTGCTGAAGCCATTTCCATCAAGCGCATGAAACCTGATTTATGCGTCCAGAAAGAAGCGGTTATCAGCCTTTCTTTGCCCTGGTAACTGGATAATTTCACCTCTCTTTCCTCCGAATGTGAAATGCTAAAAGTTTCCATTGTGTTTGACTATTATTGTTCGGAATAGTGGTTAATATTGCATATTTATATATGTATATATTTTTAGTGTATGCGTATATTGATCGATTGATTTTTGTTTAAACTGAACTCTGTGCAAGTATGTTAAAATTGTTGTTGTAGATATATTTAATAATGTCTTTGCCATGTAAGCAGCTGACGAGAAGGCAACGAAATAAAAGATGGTACCATTTTATTCTGCTAAAACTGTAGTTCTTGCATTGTTCAAATTCATTAAGGGGAATAAATCTATGATATTTTATTTTAATTGAATTTGAGATTTTCCCATCGGTTGGACCTAAGTGATCGGTCTCAGGTTGACATGTCGGCTTCTTGTGCAGATGCATCCACAAATTAAATTCTGATTAAATACCCAGACATCGTCGAATCATCAGCACGAAGAGCCGATATGTCAACCTGCGACCGAGCAATTCGGTCCAATCAATCGACGGGAAAATCTCAAATTAAATTAAATTAGTATGACCCGTTGCACAAGAGGTGGCTCCCGTGGCCCAAGTGGCCTAGTGGATAACGCTTTGGCGTTTGAAACTATGGGTACTGGGTTCGAGCCTCGGCGGGAACATCATCACTCACTGGGAAATGCAGGTACATCCAGATGACTGGTCCTAAATAGGACAAAATGCGCCAACCTGGATTTCACTGCTAATCACCATCCACAAATTCAATTCTAAAGTTCATGTAATTAGAATTTAGTAAATAACACACTACCTATTTTAAAATGAAAAAACAGAGGTTTTTGATAGAGTTTTCTATTTTATAGCTTATTTAGTACATAAAAAAGACTGAGTTAACCGAAATTAACTTTGTTAATGAATAGTGATTGCATAAACTTACGCTTTTTACGGTCTTCCTTGAAATGTTTTCATGATGGCTAATATTATCATTATTATTTAACAAGGCTTGTATATGGTCTATCATATTATCTACCAGCATAAACCAACAAGACCATGCAACGTTTGCTAATGCTCTACGATTAGTATACTGTTTCAAATAATCCATAATTTCTTGAACCGATGTACCAGACAGCTGTGTATGAGTTGAACATTTCACATTTTCTGTATTTCCTGTTTTGCGTACTGTTTTGCACAAAGCTTTTAACTTTCCTTCTAATTTCACTTCAGTCTGCCTACGTATATTTGATTTGTTACACCAAGCTGATAGTGTGCACAGTAAGTTACTTATTGATGCTGTTACATTCCAACAATATCTTGCGGTTTCATACAGTTTAGGCCAATATTCAGCTCTGTAGGCTAAGGTGGTTGATCGTTTCAATAGGTCAAATATTCTTTGAATGTCATTTGTCAAGTTAATCACAAGGAATGTATCAATAAAACCTGGAAATATTTGAATAAAATTTTAATTAGACCACACTACTGACAACTTACTAACTTATTTCATTAGAATACTCGACAAGGGATTGTTTTCACCTCAAAGATTATTTACTAGATTATTTTGTTTAGAAATTTTCAGTAAATTCAGTTAGAGTACGAGTTAAAGGATAGGTATGACCCTCTTCCACCTTTATCTTTATTGAATGTTTAGTCCCACACTCTCACCTTACATGAGATAAACATTGAAACTTTAGCCATTTGGATGGATATGAAAGCTTACAGGATAACTAAAGTTAGATGTTTTCAAGAAACGCAATAGAACTCATGTTATACTTTGATCACACTGAGATTTTATAACTCACGTGTCAAGAAAAAGTTGAATTCATAAATATATAGAATGCACAAATAAATTTGAATACGCTTCATAAAACGTGCTGATTCTAAACAGTAAATAGAAACTTTGATTGGACACCATTTAGTAACTATTGTAATGTGTCTAGTCCTTTGCTTAGTGCTGACTGAATTCTGTCAGTCAAGTTGTCACTACGTTGACTTCAGCACTAGGTGACACCGGTTCAAATCTAACAAGGGATATGAATTCTTTCAATTTTATTGATGCGCCTTGTTGACGAGTGGCAACTAGCACGAAACCTAAGTCAAACAAGGCTTCTTGCCAACTGCTTCCCATCACCTAATATCAGTAAAGAAAAACCGTTGATAAAAAGAACTTACAATAATACCTGGACGTCTGGTTTTCCATCAACCTGGCTTTCAACTTATTCATAATATTCCCTCTACTTCTTGCCTAATAAATTATTCATTAAATGCGGGGCTTCTTTTCCCATTTATTTTATAGTTATAATCTTAGTATTTTGTGAGTACACCATATATCTCTTCTTTAACAAAATAAGTTTAGTTTTAATCTTAAATGATAGTCTTGGAACTTTGCTTTAATGTAAGCGTTGCTCTTGGGCACTCTGGTAGAATGTGATTCTATATTAGTTAAGTTTATTTTAAAAAACCACACTGTGATGGTGCAGTTTTAATAATTGCAAGACGTTTCGAGCATAAATTATTGCTCATTATTATATCAATCAAATTGTGAGTGATTGGCGATGATGGATGGATATGTTTTTTCCAATTAAGCTTCTGAATAATACTCCGTTCAAAAAGAACAAGTAGGTAGAGAGTTGGATGACATATACATGCTGCATCCTGTAATCATATTTTGTATACCTGTCGACATTCTTCATCCCCTACAGTAATGAAGTGATAACAATTAAGAAAACTACAAATTGATTAAAGTGAAGTGCAAAGAGTGTTAGCATTCATATATGAAGACTGGTAATGTTGAAATGGGATGCCGATTTTTATCTCTTTAGTCTTACTGTCCATCTAAAAATGGCTAAAATGGCTAACATATTTCAATTTATAAACTTAAAGTTACTGGATTATTTAAATATTCAATTACCTTCATTACTCCCATGTTCTACTTTGTTATTCTGACACTGTTTATCATCCTCTTTTTCAAACTGTAAAGCATCAATCGTAGATTCACAATTAAATGATCCTGAATAATTATATAACGCTTTAGACGCTTCATAAGCTGTTAAACAAAAAGAGTGGAACGTCACGTTTGCGGAAACAAAATATGATGAACAGTAAATAAAACAAACACGAAGACTGATGATTTAATATTTTTACCTGTTGTTTAAACATCTGTGTGAAAGTGGAATAGATTTAAAAAGGCATATCTAAATTAATACTGACAGATGTCATTTCATGTGTGCAGATACATTGGATCATTTTTATTTCACCGTATAGAATCCTAATAAATGAAATAAAGTAGGCAATCAACTAGTGGACTTAACAGAATAAATTTATTCTCGTTCAACTGAGTAACTGGGGTTCCTAGTTTAATCTACATGCTGCTTATATCATACGAATGATAAATCACTAATAATAATATTATTTGCCACTGTCCTAACTTATTATTATTATATCCTTTAATTCCTAGAGGGCTTCAGCCGCGCGTCTCCATTGCCTTCGGTTTTCTGACAACTTTTTCACTCCACTCCAAGTCTGCCCACACGCTTTCATCTCCTCTTCACATGATCTCCTCCAAGTCACCCTTGCACTGATGACCAACTCACCGCTTCCCTTTCGGGTTCCACTCCAGCAATGGCTTGTCTAGTGATGTCACTTGATGGTTTCCTCAGAGTATGGCCAATCCATCTCTATTTCTCCCTGCTTATTTGTTTCACAATCGGTTCCTGGTTGATTCGCTCATTGCCAGAGATCCCGGTTGCTGATCTTTTCTGGTCATCCAACAAATATTTAGACTTCAAATCATCACACCCTATCAGCGCAAAGATTTCAGTTGTTTCAAGTCTTCTTAGACGAGCACACTCCCTGATAAAAGATGAGCAAGAAAAAGAAGAAATTTCAAACATCACTAAAACTCTCAAGCAAAACAACTACCCAACGAACTTCATCAACAAAATCAACACAGACATTAAGTATGGCCGAAAATGCATTCCGAAAACATGGACTTCAACAGTCGTCATTCCATATAGAGCAGAGACGTCAGACAATATCAGAAGAGTACTTAATCAACTCGACATTAGAGTTTTCTTCAAAACATCGGACACACTTCAAAACAACCTTGTCCATATAAAAGACCAAATCCCGAAAGATTCTCTATCTAATTGTGTCTATAAAATAAAATGCTTGGAATGTGATGCGATCTACATCGGACAAACATCTCGAGAAATCAAAATCAGAAGAAATGAACACCGTAGGGCTTCTCTTAGACCACCAAGAAATCCAGTTGAACTAGAAAAACTTGAAAAACCATCAGCCATAGGTCTACACTCTATAGAATCAGGCCACAAAATTGATTTTGACAATATTGAAATAATCCAGAAAAACTTCAGAATCCACAAAGAACGTCTAATATCAGAAGTAATTCATATCAAGTGGAATCCAAATTGCCTGAATAGGAATGATGGACTAGAACAGAATCTAACTGTGGTGATTGACAATTTCTATCTCTGTATTGTTTAAATACTTACTGTTGACTGTTAATATGTTTCATATATGAATTGCATAATAATTCCGCTAAATACAAATTCCTGAGTTCTGACCTCTCTGTGTTTTGTTTGGATTCTTGTAATTCGGTCATCTTGAAATACTAAAACTACGATTACAATAAATTACTACAAATTGGCGTCGCGATGGAACTGAATAACCTGGGAAAACTTCCTATTAATGGGTCTCCGCGGGAGATTGCTGATTATTTGGAATGCTTCGATGCGTGGTGCATTTCAAAGAATGTTCGGGATGACAAAATACCAGCACATTTCATCACTGCTATTGGGCTAGATGCGTATGGCCTAGTAAAGACTCTGTCATTTCCAGATCAACCTATTTCACTGTCATATGTCAAGATTCGTGAACTTCTGATAAATCACTTTCATGTAACTACATTTGAGACCAGAGAGAGGGCTCAATTCCATAAACTGGTTCGTGCTCCCAACCAGAGGATTAGAGACTTTATTCAGCAACTCCAAATACAAGCTTCAAAGTGTAACTTTGGAGATCAGCTGCATACTCAACTACGTGATCGTCTAATTGCTGGAATCAATATTCCTAAGTTAGAGAAAGAGTTAATTCAGATTCCTTCTTGTATCTTTCAAACTGTTAAAGATTTATGTATTACATATGAAGATGTCAATAATGAATACTCTGCTCCCACTACGGTATTGTCTGATGTCATGTTTTCCAAAGTCGAAAATACAAGTGTTCATGGAAAGCAATCCAAACTGCCGTCTACAGGTAATAGAATGCAGCCAGAGATCAAAAACCTTAAACCGTGATTTTCCTGTGGAAAGTTACATCTACGAAGCACTTGCCGTTTTCGGGGTGCTAAGTGTCACAAATGTGGTAAAGTTGGACACATCAAGACGGTTTGCAGAAGTTCGAATACCTATGTTGCTCAACATTCTTATAATTCTCCCAAGCTGTCTAGTAAAATGGAGTCAATGTGTCTTTCAACCTTTCAAAATACTCAAGCTAATCCAATGAAAACCTCCACTACAAGTTCGGCAACTCAAGTGTCAACTGTTTTCAAAAATGTGGTAGCCGAGTTACAATGTGAACTGTCGAAAACACGAAAAGACCTGAATGAGTTGAGAGTGCAACTGATTAAAATTGAGGAATTACTGCATATGCATAGACTGCGTCTGTCGAATGCAGAGCATACAAGTACCCGTGAAAGTCCTGCAAAACTTTTCAAATCTCGAATTCTCAAAAAGCATCTGATATCCACGACTTCTAATGTACACTATTACAAGGGCAATGACTATAGACCTTCTGTTGGAATTATACTACAAAAAATGGGAAATCGAGTGGTGAAGATATTAGACATCAAAGATCACTCAGTTCATAACAGACACCTGGACAAAGTGACAATAAATGAAGTAGGTCGTTCCAATTATTATTTTAATGATTCCGCTAATAATTCTGATTTTGTAGATAATTCAGAAATAAGTCCAGATAATACTGATGAAAATAATATCACAGAATCAGTTAAAAGGTCGCAGTTACTTGCAAGCAAACCGAGACATCGTTATAAAGACGCAAGGAGATATTTGAGGTGTGGCGGATGTGGTGATTGACAATTTCTATCTCTGTATTGTTTAAATACTTACTGTTGACTGTTAATATGTTTCATATATGAATTGCATAATAATTCCGCTAAATACAAATTCCTGAGTTCTGACCTCTCTGTGTTTTGTTTGGATTCTTGTAATTCGGTCATCTTGAAATACTAAAACTACGATTACAATAAATTACTACACTAACCTGGCTACAACACCCTCCCCCATGAAGTAGTAAAATCAACGCAAATGTGGTGAGCAAGTTCACTATGTAAACACACACTACTTTCATAATTCTACACACTAACAAAATCCCACAATTTACACTTGGTTTTACTATCTTTACCAGTTTGCTAACTTGACAACAAAAAACGACCCAGACTGACGAATGAGGATCAAGTATTTCACATACACTTAGTTTAGTTACCTTTACCTATTCCCCAACATGACAACCAAAATGACCTCATACGGACGAACGATAATCAAGTATTTCACATTCTACACTTAGTTTGGTTACCTTTACCTATTCTCGAACTTGACAACCAAAAATGACCCCAGACTAACGAACGATGAGCAAGTTAGTAAACTTTATTTCGATATAATAACAGATATACTATTACCTTTGATATTTTGTTTGAACGATCTTCATAGTTATTTTGACTCTCAATATGTCCTTTTAAGTTGAACTAAGTCTATATTTTTCTCACCCCCTAACTCTTTGTTATGTATATGCTGAGATTTTGTAAATTCCGGTTTAATAATACTTTGAGAAAGCTATTAGCATTAAATAGCGAAACGTCAGTAAAAACAATCTCGTTTTGTTTTTTCATTCATTGGGAAATACAAAAAACCTCTATTATAATGAATATCATATACCCAATGCCCAAATTTTTTCAAACCGTTAAAAGTGAACTTGGTTTGGATATATACAGTCGTATTTATACTTACAAAAATATAGTGGTTTATTATTAAGTAATAGGGGATGACATAATTGATATAATTACTCAGAAGTGGCTTTAGAACTGAAAATCAAAAGTTGTAAATTACGTGGTACTCAACGGGACAAAGATAGAAATTTGATAAGGTTAAGATTGCTATTGAGTGCGAATAGAGGTATTTGAGTGTCAATTTAACAAGTGTGAAGAGGGTGTAAAAATACACAAAAAGAGCATATGAGATTGATAATAGTGAATTAATTATTAAAGTAAAAGCAAACTAAAAGTAAAATTAAAAAACAAAAGAAAAAATCAAAACTTTTTTACAGGGAACGATTAGTGAAGAGGTTAAGACCAAGGTAGAATAAGAGACTGGACAAACTTTTCTGTATACAGAGTTTCAGGGTTGTATTGATGAATTGCCAGCGCCTCCACCATACACAAAAGTCGAAACCTGACGCCGTTTGTACCGCTTGGCTTCACTTTGTAGATGATATTGAAAGACGACTCTGGTGGAGTTACGTGGCCTGAGCTCACCAAAGGCTCGAGAATTGAGCTAGTGATTGTCTTGCATTGTCCCTTCACTAACCATGCCGGATAATGTTCAGAGATGCGTTTGGTGGAAAGCGTGCGCTTTGTGGGGCCAATATAACTAGCTACACACGAGCAGGTGAATTTATAAACACACATTGAGGTGGCCCAAAGCGGCAGTTTAACCTTCACACATCCGTTGACCATTTGTCGGCTTTAGAAATCGATACGTAGCTCAGCCATAAAAAGGCTTTCCTCAGTGATCTGCATAAACGATACTTCAGGATCTTAGCTGCGGTATCACCTTTAAATTTAACACTCATAGATAGCAGTTTCTTCGGCGCCGTCTGGATTCTTCCAGACTTTTCCGTTAACTATATGTTTTTCTCGATAAATCTTGGAGAATATCCATTCTCTATGAGAACTTGTCTGAGTCGCCTCAGTTTCCCATCGACTGCACCACTTGAACATATCCTCCTTAATCTTGAGGATAAGGAATGGATCAGATTTCTCTTTCTCTTCTCAAATGGACCCAGCTATGGAGATTTGTGTACTGACCATTCCAAGTTGGTTTCCTGTAGGTCGATCTTTAAAGAGAACCATCAGATCTCCTCTTTAGAAAAACATCCATAAAATGGAATTCCGAGTCCATCTCTGATTCCGACATGAACTTGATGGCATGATAGCAGCTGTTGAACTCCTTAGTTATCACTTCGATATCAGTAATGTCATCACATATGATGAAAGTATCATCCATGTATCTTTGGTACAGATGGAAACTGTCGGTAGTAAGACGTAAATTACTATTTTCTAAACTAGCCAAGAAGCAGTCTGCAAGTAAAGGACCCAATGGTGACCCCCTTGCCACTCCATCTCTTTGTCTTTAGACTGGACATTTAGAGTACACCTCAATAGTAGTTCCTATAAGTAGTGGATCGGAACACATACGTCTACATTATTATCCTCAATGAATTTGCATATAAAGCAGATAGTTTCAGTGAGAGGAACGTTGGTGTAAAGCGAAGTAACATCCATGGATTTCTTCTCGGATACAGTAGCACCTTAACTATAGATGTTTTGTTGGATGCGGTCTTAATTAACTTTAGCAACTTAGAAAGTAACTTATAACCAAAATATTCTCGCGTCTACCTAGAGTATGTGGATGATATTGTCTCGCTGGTCGAAGACGCCGACGAAATGTATATACCTCTGAACACCGTTGGCGCTAATGCTATTATGTTTGGGATGACATTCGTTCCTACCAGATGTAATTCACACGTTTTCTTTTCAGTATCTTCTCCTGGTCTTCACTGAATCCCAGTTTGAAGATAGGATGTGAAGTGCTAGAGTGTGCTCACCACTTCACATATCTTAGAAGTCTCATCAGCTTCAATGGGCTGACTTCTGGTGAAGTCTCAGCAAGAATGCAAACGGGTTCTGTAGTATTACAAACTCATATCATCTCTGGAGTCGACGAAATGTCCCACACTCGATAGATGGAGGTGTTTACGGCAGTTCCCTGTATCTTTTGACATAAAAATGGATTGGAAAGCCATTAGTAACTGTCTAGTAAAACTTGATTTCAATGCATCAAGTATCCAGCATGAAAGAAAGGGAAGAACTGTCGGGTGAACATAGGTGTTCACCTGCGAAATCGGTTGCCTCAACAACTATATTTATATACTCCGCGTAAATGATGTTCCGTACAAGAAGACCTGTGGGTATATGACTACTAACCAACAGGATCGAAGCTGCAGGCAAACAACATATTATTTATTCCTTTGCGGTCCTGGTGAACATAGGGCTTCAAGCTAAAGCTTTGAAGTTTCGATAGCAGTGGTGTGTATTTTTACGGGACAGGGTGGCTAGCCTCATGTCTGACCTCTCTACTTGATCACCAGCTAAGAGAGGTATGCATGTGTATCAGCCGAAGATTGAACACTGGACCACTTGCATGGTTGAGGAGCATTCTAGCCCTGTGCCAGCGACGCACGAAGCTGCAGGACTTCGGTTTTAGTTATTCGTTTACTGTTCAAAATTATGGATGCTGGAATCTAATATCATAATAAAGTACGTGTTTCTCTTAACTATCATTTTGTAACGAGTACTTGTAATAGTTGTCTGGATAGAGGATCGAACTTAAGCCTGTTAATTGTTAATATCAGGTGTATGCTTATTCCAACAAGATAAAAGTAACAGCATTTCGCTAATCCTATAGAAGCTCAGAATGTTGAACCACCTCCCAGCTCCACTATATATTTAATGTGTTTCTTCCTTGTCATGTGAGCTATAGTGTTCCTGCATTAGGAAATAAATATTCAAGCCGTCTTTGAACACCAAGTAAGTGTAATGTCGCATGTTTTCCCATCTATCGTAATAATTACATGTATAACAAACTATTTCTACATGTCATGCTTTGATAAACCAGGCTGAAATCACATTAGCATACTGTGCAGTTAAATGACGTTACAGCAGGCATCGCATCTCATCGACAAGCATAGGGATACCACTTGACTGAAGAAAGATGCATTAAAATTAAAACTGTTTATGCGATAATTATCTGGTATCATGAGAGATAAATAACGTACCGAGTGACCTGTAGCTACCATCCTAGTTCGTGTACAGATTGGATCTGCAAAAGCCTTAAAATTCACATAAGTCTCCACTATTTATGCATAATCCTTGTTTTGTTTCATAAAATAAAGTATGTCAGCTTAAAATGAAAATAAGAAGCTTAGCTAACAAACTTTTTATGAAGGTTTTATCCTGGAAATCTGTACGGTTGTATTTTGACGCATAAGATTTCACAGCAACAATTACTGTTTAATTCGACTTGCAAAGTAGAATGAAGTGGAAAATAATGCTCAAACTTGTACTAATATTCGGAGCTATGATGAAAAATGAATTTAGGTCGCAAGGGGGATAGAACACAAATCGACGTGTAGGCCTTATAGGCTCCATCTGTGACAGACTGAGTTATTTAGCCTTTTACCATGAAAAGAATTTTGCAGTCACGAAACCATCCTAGAGATGTGCGAATACCGTTAGTTTCAAGCATTAGAACATAAACCAGCAGCATAACCTAAAGGATGTATGATTTCTACTGAGATTCGACTCAGAACCATAACCAACAAATATAAGTTATGCTCCTTTTATCCAGGTTTACACCTTAAAACTGGAGCACATTAAGGATCATGAATAGATTTAGTAGGAAACCCTAATTTATAAGGAAAGGTCACGAATGTGGGACTAGTAGTTATGATCTGCATAATTTTTGACTTATGTTCTTCAGGATGCGCCAACAATAAATTGAAACATAAGGTGACGAAGTTAACTTCTCCTGCTTCCTTCGTCAACTAATAAAAATAAATGGGAATAAATTTTGAGTCGTGCCCTTTCAGCTACCTTATTAAGACGGAGAAATGCAAGTTTGTGATTAAGTCATACTGGCATCTGCAAACATGCGTTTTCTTATTCTTTTCTATTTGCTGTCAGTTTCTTGCGTAAGCATTTATCAGTTTTTGCAGTTAAAGCTGTACTAGCCACAACTCAGGATGAATAAAACTACAGTACATTCATAACCCATATGCTGCGCAAGAGAAAACGCAACGAACGGACCCCCAGCTAATGATGAAAGAGAAAGCCCATGAAAAAATCATCGCTTTCTGTTTATTGCAATCTCTTTGATTTCTAGTCCTCTTATTAGTTTTGTTTGTGTGCATTGGACGCTACGTTGAAAAGGCGCTACACTCAAAATGGATTGCTCCGGCACTTTGGCAGCCTGTAGACGGCCGTAGGTCATTTGATCAGCTGATGAATATTGGCGCTATTTTTGGAAATGACGTCAAGGTTAGGTCATTTTTCGTTGTTTTACACACTTTTTTACATATATTCCAGTTAAAAGTTGATGAAATACGGCGTATTTAGCAGAAATAGGCAATGGTGGTGTCCTTATCCGGCCGTAGCTTACAGGCAGTTTGCAGTTTTTTGGAAAAATGTACTTTTCCGTTCAAAATACGTCGAATTACTTGAAGAAACATGTTATAATGATCTTTTCGTGAATTTTCTTTGCATTTTAATGGATTACACATGGACATGACGAGTTGGATAGCTTGTTTCGGTAATTACATCATTTACTTGTTTAATTTTCGTAATGCTGAAAGCTACTCCTATGATTTTAGGAAAATCTGCAGAAATAGTTCTGAGTTATTGCGTATTTGGCGAAAACGGACAGACTGCAGAGATAAAATAATTGATTTGCACAAAAAATATATCAAAGATACCCTTTTTAAACTTGTGAGTTGCATTTTCTGGCTAATTCTTCAATTTCAGAACCAAATGGAAACTCCAATCCTCAAGGAGTCTGAAATTCGAATATCCACGGATATTCCCGCACAAATATCAGACATTCCGTTTGACATGAAGTATCTCGAAGATAATAATAAAGTATGATTGTTCGTTTTTTCTGCTATTTGTTAGGTAGAAAAGTTGCTTTTAGATCAGATCAGCGCTTTTAATGCAATTGAATCCTCTGAAATTAGCGATAACCATGATCTTCTTGGTAAGCTTATGGACTTGTATTTTAATTTTGTCACTTGGTTTCGTAACAGTTGACCACTGAATGTATTGGACTCTGGTGATCTCGCGGTTATGGTTGAGTTCGCCATGTGGTTCAGATTATCTGAACATTTGCAGATGGATGTATAAGGTCAACGCGCTACACCTGCTTTTCGAGCATTATTTCCGCGTAGAGGAACTGTCGCCAAGAAAGCTCTTGCCATAAACTCATGCTGTTAATGTACAAAATATGTCAATTTACCTGCATATATATACATCATTTTGAATTGTTTTCTCTGGATTATTACTCATGTTAACTTCCTTCATGTTCAGCATTGCGCTGTTCTGTGGTTCTTAACTGATGTCTGAATTTTTATATACGAAGCATTTTTACTTTGCAAATAGGGAATAGTACCCTTAAAAGTGGAGCAGGTGGTGAAGTAAGTTGCCCATCTCTCTGCTCACGAGTTTGAGTCTTACATATTTCGTGACTTATTTTACCAGCCGGTTTTTATATTTATAAAGTCGTAGTGTGTAGGATTACGTATATCGCAGAGTACTTGTCTGATGCTAGATTGATATGCCAACTTTTGTATAATGAGACCAACATTTGATATTAAAGCTTTTGAGCGTGATGTAAGCATAGTCACCGCCTTTTGGTCCCAATTTTTCTCGAGGTTACCTCTGCTAGGTTTCCTGACACAATAGTCCTTCAGAGTTAATTGCATATTAGTTGAATTCACCACACTCCGTGAAAAGAAAGTAATGCAATTATAACTGACGAAGTTTTGTAGAAGGAGTAATTAGATAGCACTCCGTTTTCTTACAGTCCGCCTTACGGGCATCTAGGGCATACGGTTGAGTCATGTGATCTTCCTGCTTCCAGTGTGGTCTTGGTGTAACTGCATTAAGGTCATATATAATTTCTAGGTTTTAACCAGATACGTGTGATAAGTTGACTTGACGCGTGTTGTACTCAACAAATGCTCGTAGTTAACATTTTAGTGAGATTTAGGTTATAATAGAATGCAGTATAACCTATTCAGCGTACTAATAAATGGTAGATGCTCTGTTGCGTACTTTGATGGCTCACTGAAGGGATGTGGTCGCTAAACTATAGATCACTTGTACTTTTAACACCTGGGCGTTGCCATATCAGTGGAACTTTCCATCTGCACTTGGTGCTTGGTCAACAGTTTGTTTGGTATTTTTTTTCACATGCAGCTGTTTTTGTCTCCTTTGATAGGATTGTACAAATACCGCGGACTTTTCGGCAACTCGACAATTAAAATCTTCTAGTTATGTACACTGGAAATCACTTGGAGCGTTTCTCTACTAATTGTCTATTGTCTTGTGTTTACTTTTCGCAGGTGCTTCCTAGTCGCACTACTGCTGGTGTCACCTTAATATTCTAATTTCTGTGGATGCCTGTATGTAGGGTGTGACTGTCTTGAACTCCTATGTAGCCGTCTCACATCTCATGTATTTAGCTGACAGGGAGAACTTCGTAATTCGCAATACAATAAACTGTTCTCCCATCGAAGTTGTTCGCTACAGTTCAGAGCTTTCTCCATGTAGACAACTTATGTCTTCTAGTCACCCTTCTCAAAAGCTGTACTGTTCATCCAGCAGTTCTGCGCTCTCTGAATTCGACTTATTGAGCTCAAACAAAAGTTGCTTAGGTGATTAATGGAAAAATTAGGTGACTAGAACCCACTGCTTGTTAAAGACGTCAACTGTTATTTTGGTCTCCACTTTTCTGACTTTTACACTTGTTAGAATATATTTTCCCTAAAATTTCTCAAAAGAGATGATTAGCAAAACACATCCCTACTCTGTAAAGAAGTCAAAATCGAGCTATTCACCACTCCGAAGACCTGGCCTCAGCAAGTTAAGAGTCCCTGAGTTCTATGCGGCCATCGTTCCCACGGTCGTTTTTGTCCGACGGGGAGGAATTCAGTGGCACAAGCTTCATGAAACGTCTCAAATGATATGTATATTCTGTCATGGCAGCTTTTGTAACTTTGAGACTGATTTTAAGAGGTCTAGAATTCACTTTTTTAAGTGGTGTTGAGAGAGGACGAATAATTGTCCTTGTGCAACCTTTGTTGCTCTGTCACATGCCGGCAAATAAACCTAAGAAGTTCCGTAACTGACAGACGTACTTTCAGATTTGAGTGAGGAACGGCGGCGTTTAGTCAAGGCTTCAATGCTACTCTGGTTCTTATATATATATATATATATATATATATATATACTATCTAACCACTTAATGCCATGTAATAAATCAGATTTTGAACCCTAAAGATCTCGGGCAGAAATATCTGTCTTTCGTACCAGATAAGTTTATTTTGATATAACACAGATGCATTATTAGTAACTGAATGACTTTTCAAGCATAATTTGTTGCTCATAACCATATCAATGTAATCGCATGGCTCAATAATTGACTTTATGTATTTTTCTCTTCCCTTTGTTATTCATTGTAATTTTCCATTTATCCGGTATATAGGCATTGCGTCATTTCGAATGCATGTTTGATGTGGATTCAATAAACAAGAAGAGAAAAATATATGTTGACTCCTTCATAAAGCCATGTGGATACACTGATATTATTATGAACAATAAATTCTGCCCGAAACGTCATCCAGTTAAATAATACTATATCACTGTTACATCAAACAAACTTATTTAATGTGGAATTACATTCTGCCATACACTTACTGTCTGTCTGTCTGTTTTCCACATAGAACTTTGCACAAATGTGCGGAAGTTCAAGTCGCCACATTCCGTGTAGCACGCGAAGCAAGAGAAGAAAGTACAAGAAAAGCATAATAGAAACAGTGAGCAGAGGTGTGAGACAAAGGAGTAATAAAGAAAAACAAAACAGTTTCATTGGAGATCATAAGTCACAAGGAGTGGATGCATCTGCGCCACTGAGAACGATTTTGAGCCATGTCACCAATTGTTTCCAACCATAGATTTTTACCGTCCCGAGGACCCCAGCCTGGAAGTCTACACCTTCCTACGTGGCTTAGACCAACTGTTGTGGATTTCATTGACTGATGCCAAGTTTTTGTTTGACCGCCGCTAGCTTTTTTCCAGCCTGACCCTATATCCGCTAACATTGCTCGTCGAGGGAGGCGATGGCTTGGCATACGTAACACATGTCCTAACCATCTCAGTCTTTGTAGCTTCACGACTTCGTCGATTGATTTCCCCTGTTTACCTAGAACTCTACGCCTAACCTCAATGTTGCTCACCTTATTATGCCACTTTACACGGGAAATAGAACGCAGGCACCTATGATCAAAGACAGCTAGTCTTTTCATGTCTTCCACTCTCAGTGGCCAGGTCTCACAACCATAAAGGAGGACGGAGCGGACTGATGAGCAGTACACCCGCCCTTTGGTCGATAGTCGAACATCTCGTCTACGCCAGAGTCGGCGTAAACTAACAAATGCGAAACGAGCCCCTTGTATTCGTGCTGAGATTTCGTCAGAGATCAACCCGTTGTGTGGCTGATGGTACTTCCCAAATAAGTGAAGCGGTCAACGTGCTCTACCACTTCACTTCCTATTTTTAAACTAGGCGTCGATGTAGTCCAGTCCTGTAACATCATCTTGCATTTGGCGGGAGCGAATCGCATGCCAAACATTCGTAGATTGCGGCTCAAGGTGTTTAGAAGACTCTGCATTTCGTCAGCGTCTTCGCCTAGAAGGACTATATCGTCTGCATATTCCAAGTCAACGAGATTATTCCCCGGTAGCAAGTCAATCCCTGAGTCGCTGAAGTCACCTAGGGTTAAGTCCATTAACACATCTATGATGAAGTTGAATAGAAAAGGAGATAATGGGCATCCTTGACGGACACCACTGGTCGTCATCAGTTCAGATGACAGCTCGCCGTAAGCCCTCACCTGGCTGTATGAGTACGAGTAGAGTGCCTTAATCAGTGCAATATATTTTCTCGGAATTCCCTTTACAGCCAAGCATCTCCAGAGAACTTCCCGATCGACAGAGTCGAATGCTGCCTTTAGGTCAAGAAATATAATGACTGTTGGACGCCGGTAGGAATGCCTATGTTCTAGAATCTGTCGGAGGGTGAAGATATGATCAATACACCCTCTTCCTGGTCTAAAGCCTGCCTGGCTCTCTCGTGTTTGTGCTTCCCGAGCACCACTCAGTCTACGCATGATTATTGAGCCTAAGACTTTAGATACTATATTAGTCAAGCTAATCCCTCTGTGATTATCACAGGAAGACTTGTCTCCCTTCTTGTATATGGGGATAATCAGTGACTTACACCAACCCGATGGGACTTCTTCTGATTCCCAGACGCTGCCTAGTACCTCAGTTAATCCGGACAGTAAGCTGTCTCCACCGTACTTAAATACCTCTGGAGTCATTCCATCAGGTCCCGCTGCTTTGCCTAGTTTCAGATTGGTGACAGCTTTAGTAACCTCAGTTAGTGACGGAGGACCTGTGTCTATATCCCATTCAGGGAGGTGTTGGATGCTCGGAAGGTTGAGCGTGGCTGTGGGCAAATTAAACTGCTCCTCATAATGCTCTTTCCAACGATCCAGTCGTCTATCCTGGGAGCTAATTATAGTGCCATTTTTTTCCGAGATTGTCTCACTAATGATTTGTCTTCTCCCACCCGTTTCCCTGATGAGTCCAAAGAGTTGCCTGGTGTTGCCTATCCTCGAAGCTTTCTCCATCTCTTTGGCTTTTGTCGCCCACCACTGTTCACGGTCCTTGCGGAGACTTTTCGTAAGTTTCCTCTTGTGCAGCTTTCGCTCCTCATTGAATTCGGAGCTCGCCGGAATAAGTCTTCTAGCATCTATCAGTTCGGATGAGGCGGTGGAGATCCAGTGGTTTTTACTCACCTTTGGGTTTACCTTATTCACAGCTTTTACAGCTGTATCTATGGCTGCCTGGATATTTTTCCAAGCTTCTTCAGGGTGAGCACAGCTGTCGAACACAGATATGTGTTTAGCTAGTTCTTCCTCAAATACGGATTTAGTTTCCTGATCGAGCTGGGGACGTGATGGTTTTACCGCCAGCTGTTTCCTACGTCCGTTCAGTCGTAAGCACACCCGAGCGCGGACCAGTGCATGGTCGGTATCTACGCACGTGTTCCAGAAGGAGCGACAATCTCCTACCGACCCACGCCAACGATAGCTTATTGCTATGTGGTCTATTTGTGTCCAGCGTTGGTTTGATGAAGGGGGTCTCCAAGTCAAACAGTGTCTCTCCTTGTGTTTGAAGTTAGTGCTTACAAGAAACAAATGATTATCAGAGCAGAACTGTAGGAGACGGTCACCGTTGTCGGTTCGCTGGCACGGAACTCCATAGGTGCCACCGACATCCTTCTCAGATTGACACAATTTCCCTACTTGAGCGTTAAAGTCACCAGCTAGAACGACTATGTCTGAGCGTTTAGCCTTTCGCACCAAACTAGACAGCTTTTGGTAGAACTCATCCTTCGTTTCATCTGAACTGCAGTCAGTGGGGGCGTAGGCGGAGATTACGAAAAGGCATCGGCGAGTAGTGCAGTCCTTCCTCCTTCTTACTGATCCGTTCAGGCGGACAGCACACATTCGGCTATCTACCGGGATCCAGTCAAGCAATGTCTTTTCTGCCCTAGTACTCAAAGCTATCCCTACGCCAGCTAATCCTCGTGAACTAGCTGTGGCATCTCCTGACACCCTCAAGGTGAATTTTGCAGATTCAACCTGTTGGCCAGGTGGGGTTAGGTGAATAACCACACTTGGGTCTTGTATGCGTGTTTCTGAAACACAGCATACATCAATGGCTCGTGATGCCAGGGTCTTGGCTAGTGATGCTTGTTGTCCTATTTGGCAAAGTGTCCTAACATTAAGAGCTCCTATATGAAATTGGTGGCGCGGCTTTAAGAGGCTGTCGGTGGTGGTTTTTTGGCTTCCATCGTTTTTAGTGGACGCAGAGTGGAGAGCTATCAAGTCGAGGAGTTGCATCAGTGGAAGGAAGGCAAGATGATAGAGATGAAGATGAAGACAAAGATGAGTGAGTAATAGAGAGGTTTCGTGTGCATTTCGGATTGTGAGGGCGATTGTTACTTCCCGGCTGCCCACACCGTGGAAGTTGGTTGCGTGACCGCAGAGCCCAGGGGACAACTGCTTGAGGCCGGTCACACGCGGCCTGTTTTTGTTCGTTCTTTTTGTTTGGTGTGCCTCAGTAGCATATTTATCACTCCTGCCCTGTGACACGGCAGCAGGAAGCGCGGTCGTTGTTAATCCGGGCCACGGCCGATCCGGCATGAAATTTTGTGATTTTGTATTGGACATGATGTTGGATTGGGTAGCTGCTTTTTGTTTAACCGCTATCCAAACAACCTGCCTGGCATGGTAGACCTCAAGAGACATAAGTCTCAGCCAGTATAGCTTGATTAGGTCATTGCGGTGTTCAAGCCCGACCACCACGTCAAGGTAGCAGCTTTCGAGAGCAGCTTACAAGAATTATCTGTCTGACAGTAAATGGTTTTAGGAAAAAATAAGACATGAAGCACTTGGTTACCTCCAGGGAAATTTAAATTATTGCTCTATGTCTACTTAGACGTACCTACGTTACCACAGTGCCCAAGTTTTATACTTATATCAATAATGGATTACCACTTCTTTTGCCTCTCAATGTGTGAATAAAATTTAAAATTGAGGTGACTCACTTGCTGTATTGCTTCCTTGAGGTATTATAAAGGCCAGTCTGTCCAATTTCTTCCTGTCAATGTTAATTACTGACTTTCGGAAGTTCATCCGAATGGGCCTATTTTCGAAGCTGTCCTTTAGCGATTGATCATAGTCAATTATAATATTATCTCTATAATATGTATACCACTCCACCTGTTTTCTAGGTACAGATGTAGATACAGATAAAAGAGGAACCGTCTTAGTCGATATTATATAGAAAAATTTGCAGGTCGGCAGTGTATTAACCAATAATAATCGCGGTTTACAACTACGATGTCACTGACTGACAGTTTGAATAGAGTTCACAACACAGAAGGGCAGTGATTCAAGTTGAAAAAGAAATTCAAAACGACTATAATGAATAAAAATGTGTAGGAAGAGTAGTACCGTAGAGGAAATATGACAGTTTAGTGGGTATGGGAGACTATAAAGAGTGAGTGCATCTGCGCCATTAAGAGCGATTTTGAGCGGTATTATCAGTATTCTTCAGCCATCGGTTCCTAGCATGTCGGAAACCCCAGTCAAGCAGTCCACACCTCCCTACGTGGTTCAAATCAACTGTCAAAGCCTTCATGGGCTGATGCCAGGTGTTAGTCTGACCAAACCTAACAGTCTTCCAACCTAATCTATTGTCGGCTAACTTTGTTCATCAAGAGAGACGAAAGCTCGGCATATGTAACACGTGTCCGAGACGTCTCAATCCGTGTAGCTCTACAACCTAGAACTCAACATCTGACCTTAGTATTGCTTGCCATATGGTTCTACTTAACACGAGAGGTAAAACGCAAACATTTTTGACCAAAGATCATAGGCAATTACTAATTTCCTTTGATTTGAAATAGTTTCTGAGGTATGGCATGCCATCTTTATACTGTTAGCTGAGGGAAATCTGTGGAGCGGAAAGTAAGCTCCCTTGATGTAGAAAATAGATTCATTCATGCTTCGGTTTTATTAAATGGTATGAATTTATACCATTGAGAAATAACTTATTTTCTATGTTTGTAGTATTGTGTGCATGAAGTCATGGTTCTTGTGAGTGTTGCAACCAGCCATGGTAACTAAACCAAATCGAGTTGCTAAGATGAAAAAAAGCGTGTCGTCTGAATACATCACCTGCCTCGTTTAAACGAAACTAACATTGTCAAATATGCAGATGATCTGACTGCATCACTGCTATCACTTCCGAGTCTGACTGCTCCAAACTTAATAGCTTTCTGTTGGACATCAGCAAGTGGTCTAAGTCAGATGGTCTTATGTTAAATCCTTCCAAATGTCAGGCAGTTGACTTTACTTTCAAGCATCCACGTGACTTACATGAACTAGTCAGTTCGCATGATGCCTGCAGCATAGATGGCACGGAAATTGAAACCAAGTCAAGCATTAAATACCTTGGATTAGTTCTTTCCTCTGACCTTTCATGGTCATCCCACATCTTATCTATCTCTAAGATGATGTTTCGTCTTACCTTTTACATTAAAAAGTTAAGACAATCAGGTATCAACCAACCTTCAGTTTTGCAATTTTTAAACTCCTGTATTTTACCTATTGCACTCCATCAATCTTTCCTGGGCTTCTCAAAGAAGACTATATCATATTACGAAGAGTATTAAATGCTGTGAGTAGGGCTTGTGGTATGCCACTGCGTGAGCTCGCCAATACTATATTCGAGAAACACAAATTCCTGTACAAAATGGGCAAAGGCTGTACTGTCAGACCCTCTGCACTCCCTTTATTCACAACTATCCCCTTCTATCTCATCAGGTAGGACGAGAAGTCAATATAAGAAGTTATATGCTCGTACCACTAAGTACAGAAATTCTACAATACCGTATTTCGCCCGTATTTTATGTGACGAAGACTCTGTTAGACGTGAAACACATAATTTACTATGTAATTACCACAGTGAATCGACCCTTTCATTGTTCATCTTTCTGTAATTCTATGGTGTCATCCTTTCTATCGTTTAATTGTAACTTACTATTTTATTTTAAGTTGTTATTACTATTATTACTACAATTTTGTACTTTATGCATATTTTTCTCCGTATCGCATACAGTAATTTGCTATGTAGCTGCTATAACAACGTTTTATTTTTATTATGTAATGTTTATTTTTATTATACTTTTTGTCGTTTTTTGAGTAAATTGGATGCAATATTGTACTGAATGCTGAAAATTCCTTGCTGTATCATTAGTACTGTTTTTGGAATAAAGCAAATTATCATCATCAATTAATTAAAAAGAGAATATTTTCTTGTACGGCTTACTTTTCAGTTAGTATTTTACTATGCACAGTAATCGATCGCCATTTCCTCCACAGTTCATACTGTTCAATTCGTGCTTGTAGTAGACTAAACTGAAATTCATTAAAAAAAGATATATTTATTCGTGTTTCTCCCTAACTAGTTTGTGCTGAAATTTTAGTTTCCACCAGTGTTGAACTGATGTATAAGAATTGATACCTGATATCCTTACCACTCTAAACGTCAGACAGCTGAAAGCATAAAGAAAGTCAATATATACCACCTTTCCTTACTGAGCAGTAAATAGTTTATTCGGAAACTGGGAGTCACAATAGTATTCTATAGCTAAAGTAACTCGAACCTCGTGTTTTGTGCAACAGATTATGAATAAATCCCACCGGAAAAATTGATGTCCTTTGTTGTAGGTTTGTGCAACAGTTTAGTATGAAACACTAGTAGCATGTTACCACCTACTATTTTGGATCTGTAGATACTTTACTAGATTTTCCAAAGGAACAAATATGCTATATAGCTTATTCACGGTCAGTGTAGTCATAGTTTTGGACATTGTATAAAGGCACAATAGAAAGTTTGGAATGATAGATTCTGGGATCAATTCTCATTAAGAGCATATCACTCTAGCCGGTAAGTGCCAAATAAGATGACATTATTATTATTGCTCCCTTGGGTTCCTAGTGGAACATAGGGCTTCAAATGCACGTCTCCATTTGCTTCTGTCTTCTGCTGTACTTTTCACCTGCATCCATGTTAGTCCATATTCTTTCAACTCCTCTTCACCGATCTCCTCCATGTCACCCTTGGACGTCCCACACCCAGCTTCCCTTTCGGGTTCCACTCGAGGGCTTGGCGCGCGATGTCACCCAGCGGTCTCCTCAGCGAGTGTCCGATCCATCTCCACTTTCTCCTGCATATTTGTTGGGCGATTGGTTCTTGCATTGTTTGTTCCCATAATTCCTTGTTGGTGATTCTTTCTGACCCGGCCATCTGATCTTCAGTATAGAGTCAGCGAAGACAGTTGTTAATAAAGGTCTGCAGCCTTTTGGAAATATTCTCTGTGACCCGCCAAGTTTCTTATCCGTATAGAAGAACTGACTGACTTTACGTTTGCATTGAAAATCCGAATTTTGTTGGTGATGCTGAGTGACGAAGATTTTTAGATTGATTTCAGGTTGATGAATGTGTTTCTTGCTCGCCTTCTCGATTCTCGATTTGACATCCTCGTCCGCTCCTCCTGTAGTTGAGACAATGTTCCCTAGATAAGTGAATGAAGTAGCCCCTTTCAAATCCCTCCCGTTGATGGTGATTGACGTTGGATGCTGTTGCTGTTGTTGGTTGGTTATTTTCATAACCTCCATCATGTCTATGTTCACCTGGAGTCCTGTCTTCGCAGGCTGCTTCTTCGACCAGTTTGTCGGTTTTCGCTTGTAAGTCTTCGATTGTGTGTGACATCAAACATAAATCATCCACTCGTGAAATCCAGGTCTTCTAGGTTCTTCACGTTGGTCCAGGATATCCCTGTATGCTTGTTTCCCACTGTCTGACGCATAATCTAATCAGTCGACCACAATTAGTAATATCATTGGTGATAACAAGCACCCTTGTCTGACTCCTGTGTTTACTCCAAACGCCTCGCTGAGTTTTCCGTTGTGGATCACTTGACATGTGCCGTTGTCGCACAGCTGTTGAATAAGGTTGATGAATATTTGGGGTACGCCATAGTACTCGAGTAATTTCCAAATTACTTCACGGTCAACGCTGCCTGTAAAAGGCCTTCTCAAAGTCTATAAAGTTGAGGTAGAGGTTTGATTGCCATTCCATGCTTTGTTCTGTGATGATGATGCGTAGAGTTGCAATTTGGTCAGTACATGATTTGCCTTTCCTGAATCCAGCTTGTTCTGGTCGGAGTTCTGTATCCAGTGCGTCCTTTAATCTCTCCAGGATGATGCGACTCAGGATTTTACTTGGCGTCGATAGGAGCATGATTCCTCGCCAGTTCTTGCAGAGTGAGGCGTAAGTCGCCCTTCTTTGGTAGTTTCACGAGGTAACCTTTCCTCCAGTCAGTAGGCACCTTTCCCTCCTTCCAGACCTTTTGCAATAATGGAGTCAGCATTACTGCTGTAGTCTCTGGGTCCGCTTTCAGTGCTTCAGGGGGTATTCCATCTGGTCCGGCTGTTTTTCCAGCTTTCAGAAGCTTGATTGTGTTCAAGACTTCAGCTTTCGTTGGGGGAGAGGTGTCAACTTGCAGTTGTGTGCGCGCTGTTGTTGGTATTTCTGGACGGGTTGCAGGTGATGGTCGGTTCAAGAGTCCTTTGAAGTGATCCGCCCATTGTTTAATCTGTTTTTCTTCCTTGGTAATTGGGTTCCCCTGGCTGTCTTTTATAAGTTTCCCTTTGTTTGATCTCTTCCCGGATAGAGATTTGGTTATCTGATATAGTGTCCTCAGGTCCCTTTTGCATGCTGCCTTCTCAGCTTCAGTGGCGAGGTTGTCGTAGAATCGTCTTTTGTCCTTCCTAGCACTCTTCTTTGTCCAGTGCTTTGTAAGTTGAGCTCAGCGTCTCCTTCTCCTGTCCGTCCTTGCATTGAATCATTTTCTCTTTCACCATTCTCCTCTCTTCTATTAATTTCCAAGTGTCCGTTGAGAGCCATTCCTTGTCTTGTCTCTTCTTTCTTCCTAGAACCGTTGAACACGTTTCGTTGATTCCTTTGGTTTTTGAATTTTTTTTGCGTTTTTCCTTAAACCTTCTACTAGATAGTGGTCTGAACCACATCTGCTCTCTCCTGACCTTGTGTCCAGTAGGCTCCGTCTCCACTTTCTTGAAATCGAGATGAGGTCTATTTGGTTCTTGGGGTTTCCATCTGGTGAAATCCATGTCGTCTTGTGTACATCCTTGTGTTTGAACACACTACTACCAATCACCAAATCATTGAAGGCGCAGAAGTCTGAGAAGAGTTCACGATTGTCGTTCATTTCGCCGAGGGCCTCACGACCCATGGTGAGTTGTCTTCCTGTGTTGTCTCGTCCCAGCTTCGCATTCATGTCACCCATCAGGATTTTGATATCGCCATTTAGGACGCTGTCCATTATTGCTTGTAGGTGTCTGTAGAACGCCTCCTTCTTCTCTTGTTCTGAGACGTTTGTAGGCGCATAGCATTGAATCTCTGTAACTTCCTTTTGAGTTGAACCTGGCTGTCATCCTCGAGGAGGTTGGTTCCCACTGCATGAAAGCTTTGGCTGCTGTTGGTGACATCATGATGGCCACTCCCTCGGTGTGCTCATGGTTGTCCTCTGGGTGGCCGGAAAAGATTACTGTCTCTCCAGTAGGTAGTTGGCACCTTCCAGTTCCGTTCCATCTGCTTTCGAAGATTCCCAACACTTCTATTCTGTACCTTCTCATTTCAGCGGCTATCTGGGCAGCCTTTCCAGTTTCGTACATTGTACGAACATTCCAGGTACCCATCCTTACTTTTGCTTTCATCGAAAGAAGGCACATCGGCTGACTGGCTTCCCGAAGGCTTTCACCAGCCTGCGTCATTTCACTTCCCCGATTCCAGCGAAAAGTAAGGTTATTGCTTATGTTTTTGGAATTTTTAATATATTTATTCGTTGAAGTTTCTGTAGCGATTTGGTTGTTTTACAGGGTTGGAGTTGCTAGCACCACGCCCCAACCCTTCCTCTTTACCCGGGGTTGGGACCGGCGAGAAAACTAGTAAGCTAGTAGCCTAGCAAGCTAGTATCTGGCGAGGTTAGATAAGATGACATACACATCGTAAATCTACTGCTAACCATCACCTAATAAATCATATCAAGTCGGTACTCTTCGTCTGTGTTATTTCCCTTCTATGCAAATAATATTGTTAAAATATACTTTGTGGTTATGGTACAATGAAAAAAATGGGTAAATATTCTACTCTATATGGTCACTGATTGCCAATCAGTCATTATTAATGTGTTGTTGTACGGGAATCAAACTATATACATCACAATAATTCCGATTGTAACATTAAGAGCACAATATTCAGCGAACTAGGTTGTCTGTAGTAAGAATATTTCACAAATTCACAAACTGTTGCTCTTATAACAATTGTGAGAAAACAACAAAAGACGTTGTTTCTGAGTCCATTCCACTCATGGTGGTAATAATGGAATTGTAATAGTAAAAGACAATGAACCACTTAGCTGTTATCTTCCCTGTATTCGAGTGTATTTATGTGACTGCTGTGAAAATACATAACAGCTGATGGTTGTTAGATGAACTAAAAGAAGTAGGCGTTTGTTATTTTTTTGGTAATGGTTTGATGCCGCTGTGCCCAAGTAGAATCTCACAGAAGTCTAATTTATTCCATTCAGGAGTGAAGATTCGCTTAAAAGTGGAAAAACAGAAGTGTGTTAAGTACTTAATCAGACACTACGCTAGTAAGAGTTAAAAGACTTAATTTGCCAAATACTGATCAGCATGTCGTCTAAGACACGAAATTAATTGATAAAATACTCGCACATTCATAGTATTGAAAGCCTCTAAATTTTAATAAGTATCTTATGAACCAGACTTCATGTGTCCAAAATCCAATCGTAGTAAACATTTTTTTATTATTAGGTGCTAAGATATGACTTCAAAATTCACTTCACTAACTAAGGATTACCATCCTGAATACAATCGATGTGAACGTCAGTTTGTGAAGTTAACCTTTACGTGTATTAATTTTTGTGGATTAGTTCACTGATTTACACAATGAATCCTCAACAATGGAGGCATAAATTCGAAACGTATTCCATCCATCAGATAGTATCATCAGCCCTCACAATAGGTGTGGCTCATGCTTGAATGAATTGTTAATAAAATGGGTTGTTGAGTAGCATTCATACTTGACTTTCTTTTACATTGTTTAACACTTCACAACAGTAAAGTTGCTTTCGTTTACACTAGCAGTGTCTTTCAACCACCCATTACTAAACAATATTAGTAATCATTGCTGAATTTTTTATCAGTGAAATGATAATAAATATCAACATTAGGGTCATCATGAACAGCTTTTAATGCTTTAGATTTCTTTTTACTAAATGATCTGTTAATATTCGTAATATTGGCTGTAGAATAGACTTGCTTAGCTAGGTACATTATAGTCTAACGCTAAGTAGATATTCTCACCTGTGAACGTTGTATCCACTCCTCTTGACATACATTTCTTAGCCTTTTGCGTCTAGCCTTACGTGTGTAATATTCGGTCAGTAAACTGCACAAGTGGCTGATTTCCTAAAAAGAAATAAATTTTTATCATTACATAAGTGATTTTGTTCTTTATTGAATTGAATTAGTTTACAGTACAATATTGTGCGTCGGTGGCACAGCGGTAGAGGTCTCGCCGACCACGCAGATGGTTCAGGGTTCTATCCCCGGCCACCGACTCACTCCTTTACCTCGCTAAGCCAGTAATAAGACTGGTAAAGAGGGAAGGTTGGTCATGAGGCTAGCAACCCTATCCTGCAAAAATAAACACTCCTGCTACAGAAACTTCAAGCCTCTAGCTTTAAGCCCTATGTTCCACTGGGGACGTAAAGAAACGAAACAAAAATGAAAACGGTACAATATTAGTAGCTGTTGAAGTTCACAATATTTTGGCAATCAATTGGTATAATAAAGAAACAAAATTATATGTGACATATAGATCGTTATTTCGATACATGTAAAAAGATTTTTATACATATTTTTCAAACTAGATAGGTAATGTTACTGATAGGAGAAAAATCAGGGTTTTGTTGCGTGTAGTTCCCTGCGATTCCAATGTGATAACACTTTCTAAACTATTGATATAAAGTTTTGGTATGAATTAAAATTTTCAGTTATGACGAAGGCCTTCAATGCATGTCAACAGTAATGAAGACTAGAAGACTAAGAACATTGTCTAATCCCAGCATTTTTTCTCTTATGACGAAATTCAAAAGCTTCATGCGATAGGAGATGGGCGAAGATATGTTATTGCAAACCAATTTTGCGGCGCTTTTGTCTCAGTACACTTGTATTGTTGGCAGTACGGAGTTGGTTAATTACGACTTGAATTTCCTCAGGTAGTTGACTTTGTATTACGTGCCTAGAGATGTTCGATAATCGTATCAGATGTTATGTCTGTCTGTGTCTAAGGAGTTACATCAATGTTTTAACACAACTGGAATGCCCGTTGCAGCGTTTGTCACACTATGCGCGAAAACGCCTTACGGTGGCTTTTGTCTTCATCTTCGGAGAACACTTGTAGCCAAATACAGGTTCAATACTTTATATTTGGATATTAAAGACTTAATTCAATGTACGCAGTCGATTCTTTGCATCTTATGCATGGTCTACAGAATCAAAAAGCACAATTTATTTCTCAAATACCTCGTTTGACTATTACATTTAGCTGAATACTCACAAAGCCTGGCTTTATTGCATTAAGGTTTGGGGTGACAAAATTCACGAAAATAAACGGTAAAAAAATTTGAATGTTTTTAAATGTAAAGAGAACTTATCGGATATAAGGATAAAAATATACCTGACTCTACAATTTTTTTCTTGAATATTTATTATTATAACTTATGTTTCTTAATTATTATTTTTATACAGCCATGTCGTGTTACATCGTTTATAAGTGGGCAGTATATGCTCCAGCTAAATCTCAGACTAAAATAGCATCAGAGACAACAGAAGACCATATTTGGAATATCTTGGTATTTCAGATATACTCATCTTTTTATCCTACATTTTAACGTATTTCATACTTTTCCTTTTCAACATTTTCTCATGGTATACATTGTTTCAGTTTGGTCTCTTGTGTACTTCTCTATACCAAAATCATAATTTTCAAATTCCTCCAGTTATTTTCAGTCAGAATTCCACTACAGCTGATCCTGTGTGGAAGCTTTAATATTATCTTTGACAGCAGCCCATGAGCTTACCAAAGGATTAGATTCTTTTTATTCAACAATTTAAATTATCTTCCATTGGGTACTAATCTCATTAATATTAAGATAAAAGCGTAATATAATGGCAGTCAGGGTCTTTAATTCAATGGTAGAATGCTTGGTAGCCACGAAAGGGTTCGGATCCTACTCCGTGATGACGCTCTCCTAAACGTCGCCTAGCTTACCAGCCAAAAAGGGGCTGAAACTTCAAAACTTGCATCCCTTGTATGTTCCACTTGGAACCCAAAGGACAATACTAGTCACCATTGATTTAGCTATTGTGCGAAATGATATTGCTAACAATGATACAAATGATTATCATCCTTAGGCGCTTACCTTCCTATTGGTTAGCACTCGAGATGGTGGTTTAGTTGTTCCTTGTCCGTCGCTTTCCTGAAGCTAGTATTTTACGATCAATAGAAAAGAAAATTGAAAAACTTGAATTAATAAGCTATGAAATGGAATGCATACTTGGCGAATTATTGCGCATAAGGGATAAACATGGGTTGTGAATAGCTACACTTATCTTTTCGAAGTATTCTGTGAAACTAATCATATCAGTACTAACCTCTGAGTAAACAAATGCAGTTATGCATTGGCTGAGAAACTTCGAAGTAAGCAGAAGTCGATTACACTTTAAATAAAAGCAATTAAAAAAACAGGCGGACAATTACAAGTTCACTTTTAAGCACACTAATGGTAATTTTCTCTACAAAGTTATCGGAGAGCCATACTGATAAATAAAAATTTTGTAAAACTTGATTCTTTTTTAAGTTACTTTCTTATGGTCAGATCTAACAGTAGTGGGATGACTTTGGACAATTTGACGGTTCTGCTTTGATTCGAGAAATCAGTGAAATTAAAAAAAATAAGAATGACGTAATTTTTCCTGTTTGTCAATTAAACATCTTTCATTGTTCAGTCTACACTAAAGCTGAATAATGTAGACTGTAGCTGGGTGCACATATTCAAGACTTCGTAAGTCTGTTCACTGTAAAAAATTTTAAGAGTGAGATGAAAAAGTTAAGTCATGCAAAACACATAAAAATAGTAGAATAATAAGTAAATAACCGCATTATACACTTAAAAGCATTGTTATTACCTGTGATGAAAGCGTCAATTTTGATCTATCTAAATTTGTAGCATTCATATTATCATTGATTTTGACAACTTCTGTATATTCATAAGACTGGCATGCTTTTACTAGAACTTGATCACGATGATTCAACCATATTTTTGTTTCGCTAAGGAGTGGTTGAATTAAGTCTATCTGGTTTGAATTTATCCTTTCTACAAGTATATTTATTAATTGTAAGAATATTGTGCGGCGATTGAACTTCATTACTGTAGAGTTACATAGAAGTGAAATATAAATAAATATATATATATATATATATATATATATATCATATTTGAAAAACAATATAGACGCTGTTATTAAAACTAAAACTTTGCTTAGGAGGCGAAAAGTATTTATGTCAGTTAGTGTGAAAATCACTTGAAATCATGCATGTACTATGAAGAAATATTTATTCGGGCCCTTCTTTTCTAATCATTCTGTTTAGAACATGCTTCTTATCCTACCTCACCTGGTTTACCAGCAGATCTTAGGCTTGGGAAAGATGGAAGGTTGTGTGTGAACTAGTAAAACCATCAGCCCCAACGGGTTGATCTCTGACGAAATCTCAGCACGGATACAGGGGGCTCGTTTCGCATTTGCCAATTTACGCCGTTTTTGGCCTAGACGAGATATCCGGCTATCGACCAAATGGCTGGTGTACTGCTCATTAGTCCGCTCCGTCCTCCTTTATGACAAGCTGTGAGACCTGGTCACTGAGAGTGAAAGACATGAAAAGATTAGCTGTCTTTGATCATAGGTGCCTGCGCTCTATCTCCTGTGTGAAGTGGTATAATAAGGTGAGGAATATTGAGGTTAGGCTTCCGTCGAGTTCTAGGTAAACAGGGGAAATCAATCGACGAAGTTGTGAAGTTACATCGACTGAGATGGTTAGGACATGTGTTACGTATGTGGTGTCATCGCCTTCCTCGGCGGGCAATGTTAGCTCATATAGGGTCTGGCTGGAATAGAGCTAGCGGAGGTCAAACCGAAACATGGCACCAGTCAATGGAATCTATAACAGTTAGTTTAAGCCACGTATGAAGGTGTAGACTACCTGACTGGTTGGGGTCCTCGGGACGGTAAAAACCAATGGTCTGAAACAATCGGTGATATGGCTCAAAATCGTTCTCACTGCTGTAGATGCATCCACTCCTTGTGACTTATGAATTCAATGAAACTTTATTGTTCTTCGTTATTACTATTACTTTGCCTCACACCTCTGTTTACTGTCTTCATTATGCATTTCTTCTCTTGCTTTGTGTGCTACATGGAGTGTGGCGACTTGAACTGCCGAACATCGGTGCAAAGTTCTGTGTCGAAAACAGACAGACGGTAAAGCCATCCTGTAAAATCAGTCTAACAACAGCACTTCGGGCCCTGTCATTTAACGTCTATGTACGTTCCACTACTTGTTGACATTCACCTTGAATTTGTCGGCCACATCAAAAGAATACAAGTTGAAGTCGTCCTGAAATTACCTGAAGAAAATTAGTACCATCTGAAGACATTTTTGATTGGTAAAGACAGAAACAAAACTAGAAGCGGTATGTGGTGTATAGAAAAATGTATTTAGTTAGCTCAAAGCTCAAGCAGGCAGGAAGAATGCTATTCACTGTTGTACAACTTTATAAAACAAAATTCCAAAACTTCAGAGTCTTTTCAAACCATGCATAATTGTTCACCACTAAAAGCTCAAATGCGTCGGTGGCACAGCGGTAAGAGCGCTGTTAGGACCATACACGTGGTCCGGTGTTCGATCCTCGGCCAACGCACTGCTTTACCTCGCTAAGCTAGTAGTAAAAGCTGGTAAGGAGGAAAGGTTGGACATGAGGCTAGGGACCCCATCCTGTAAAATTAAAAACTGCTACAGAAATTTAAACCTGTAGCTTGAAGCTCTATGTTCCACTGGGAACGTGAAGGAATAAAAAAACTAAAAGCTAAAATATGTTATCCAATGAATCCAATTCTGTCTTTAACATGTGTCTTAACATAGATCATGTTGTCTTTAGAGATTAGGCCAAACTAACTTTTGGGATGCACTATAATTTTTTGAAAAAAAGTTACGTTAGTGTATAGGGGATAATCATTCTCATTTTCAACTTACCGTCCTTTAATGATGTTTTAAGTGGCTTTGTAGCTATACACGCGACTGCTTGATACGCCTCTTCGTAACCGAATAACTCAACTCTTGGAGCACCTGTGTAACAAAAACACAATCAAGGCGATTTCGGTGAATACAATAGTCATGATAGGGTAATGACTCCCTCAGATAGTTACACGCTAACTTTTGAGTCAATAATGCTTAGTTGAAAAGTGATGTCAGTGTTGACGATTCACCATTATTCAGAGATATGTTAACTTCAATTACCTTTTGTCGAAAGGGTTTTAGTAAAGTACTGTAAGGTGCTTAAAGTTTTCTAGGAACACCACAAGATGTTTTAAGTAGATTTAGTTACTAACCATCGAAAAACAAAGAGAATGATCTCAACATTTGAAAGGATTTTTTTGGCTACATAACTTCCTCAATATTAAACGTTTTAGGGTAAACAGGCTGTGTGTACCTATTGCAGGGTTTTCTGCAACTACAGGCAGATTCACATTATTGACGATGTTATATTTGATTGGATGGTGGAGTTCATCATGAGCTGACATTGGTTAGAGAACCACTGGAAAACCTGGGGGTACTGAACAGCTGTTTCGTCCTAGTTCGGGACTCATCGCCAGTATGCCCCCGGGGTTCGAACCCAGGGGTCACTGGGCCATTGGATCGGGTCCCAATACTTAAATATTATATTTAAATTTGTCATTAGTTGAACTTATTCGGTCGAAATGATCGATCTATTTTGATAGGTTGAAAGTGAATATACGGTCTAAACTATTACAAAACTGATCATTTCAAAAGTAACTTGTTACAAAATTGAATTGGATCCTTAAATTACTAAGTAGCGTGGTAAACGATGTTCATCAGCTATTGTACTTTAATTATAAGGCGACATTCTTTCGATTGCTTTAACGTCCCTCTTTCATTTCATAACGTTCTATGAGGTTTGAGTATATTATTTTCAATCCATTTATAATTTAATACATTCCGTTCGATTTACGGATATAAAGTAAATGGCAACTTAAAATATGAAACTATAATTCTATATTCTATGCTTACTTAATTTAGCAGTTATCAAGTAAGAGTGAGCATCCAGTGCTTTAACAGCTGACAAAAGTTCATCAAGCTCATCTGAATTCTGCGTTGACTGTCTTCGTCCATATTTTGAGTTCAGTTTTACTTGTGACATTCGTTTTCTCGTGGCTTGATTCATTGTTGGCTTCATATCTGCACAGAAAGGAATATATACATAGTTAGGGTTGAAAAGAGTACTTAAATTATAACAGATTTATTGTATTGTGATAATAGGTTGGATGGAGTAATTTAGTTAAGTGTTAGTAAGTGTTATACTCTAAAGCAATCAGTTTATCAGTGCTTGTTTTTTTTCATGTTTGTTTTTTCATGACTAGGCTTCTGTACTAAGTCTCTACGGGTCTTTCGCCTTTATTAAATTTACATAGCTCACATGTGATATCAGTTAATCCAATGGAATCATCCTTCAGAAACCATGATATTTCTTATCGAGCCTGCAATAACAAATTTGCTACTGGTACAAATTACTCTGCAAGTAAGGGCTTCACAACATATTCCTAAATGGCTCCAGAAAAAAAATCTTCAGAACCTATTCATGGTGAGAACAGGAGACCTTGCTCCTCTATTGCAAAGCGTATTATAGAGACTGGACCTATCTCTAAAACGTGTTTGGGGCGTATTCAAAAGTTTATGGAAGCCCTAGTAATTAGGAAGTTTAAATCGCATTTAAACGTTTAAAAACAATTCGTCATCACATTAAACCTTCCTTGGTAAACTTTGTTTTGATACCATAGCTGATGTACTACTACTTCAATATGTCCTTTTGACTAGACCCAAATTTATTTTTTCACCTGTTAACTCTTTATTAATTCCAAATATATTCCTACGACAAGTCCATGTGTGATCAGATTGTTCGAAATGGGCCGCGCAAATACATTACACGATTAGACAGATTATGTCTTCTTATTGCTTTGTCGAAATTCATAAAGGGAACTGATTGTTTTAAATCCTTAATAGTCGTAAACCTGACTTTGTGACAGACAATATTTTCGCCATCTGACCACTTATAATAAACAAGTGTTCGAACAGATTTGTAATTTACGCAGTTCAGCGTGAGATTTCATCACAGTTGCCTTTGATAACTTAAATTATTCAGATCAAAGTATGTGATCTACCTGATACCCATAAGTGGTAATCATGAAGGCAGGCATACTATTGGTTAATTGAAATGAGTAGCTGTATACCACCCACATAAACCAATAGTGCTTGCTAGCCAGATCATCGAGGTGATCTAAACACCAGACGACGCTGTTTCTCTCGTTTAAGACCGACTTCATCAGTCGTGTGCCTGGTTTGACTCAACTCAGAAAGCCAAATCTGTTCAAACCATTGACTTCGAACAAGAACTCGATATTTTACCAGAAGCATATCAACAAAGGGAAACGCCTAAATTAGCATTGGCAAATGCTAGCCGCAATTAATTTGTTACATGAATAAAATTAGTATTTGATATGATGCTTACTCTTTTCAAGTTTCAGTTGATAATTGATTCAGTTACGAAGCAACTACTAGATATAAATAAATATAACCACATGCTCATCTATTGGGTTTAATGGTTACAATTTTTTTTATTCCTTCACGTTCCCAGTGGAACATAGAGCTTCAAGCTACAGGTTTAAATTTCTGTAGCAGTGTTTAATTTTACAGGATGGGGTTCCTAGCCTCATGTCCAACCTTTTCTCCTTACCAGCTTTTATTAAGCAGTGCGTTGGCCGAGGATCGAACACCGGACCACCTGCGGAGTTGGCGAGCATTCTACTGGTGTTCCACTGACGCACTAATGGTTATAATTTACATTATCTCTTATTCTAAGCTAATTATTATTCCGCTCATGTAGGATACAAACAATGCTGTTCACCAACTTAAGTAGGCATAACCACTTAAGTTCTCCAGATAAGTCAGTCGATTGTAAGTATTCAGTAATTCCAAATGTATGTAAAACACCGAAATACTAAATATTAAAACTAAGGTACCTTTCCTATCCATCAAATATAATAATTACCTTTTATTGTTTGATTTAAGACTGTTTTTACAATTTTTAAAGTTGCAATAATCCCTTTTAATTCATTCAGTGTTTCAAGGACTTGAATACATCCAAACGTGAATTTTATTATCGCTTGCGTAAGCTTCCAGTTTAGAGAGTCATCCAGTAATATTAAATGTTTAGAGTATTTTCTAATACTAAGAAGTATGGTTATTGATCTTAGTAGTATCTGAAAAGATGAAATGTAGTAAATCAGAAATTTATTCCGTTGTTTATTACAAATATATTTGGATTACATGAACAATGTTAACTTAAAAGATTTTTAGCTTTCATGTAAAGAATTCAAAGTCACAGAAGAAATTCTTGACTGAATTTCATCGAGAAATTGATACTTGTCGTTTATTCATTGGAAATTTGCAAATATAAGGAATTGCTTTATCCTCAATTGTCCATGTGTACTGCTTGTCTGTTTGTTAAACTCCAAACTACCTCAGACTACAAGACAATTGTTTCGGTTGCGTTTCTTTCATCTTTCAATAATAATAATAACAATAATTTTCTTTATTCCAAAACAGTACTTGCGATACAGAATGGAATTCTCAGCATTATACTACAGAATTGCATCCAGTTAGTACATTAACAATAAATAAAAATTCTACATAGATTAAAGTAATCTCAGTTCATTATGACAACAGCATATTGATATGTCGGTAGCAAAGCCAAAATTGAAGAGAGTGTTTGAAGGTGTTAGAAAAGTAGATGCTAGCATATTTGCTGGCGTAAGTGGTAACAAAAGGTCGAGATATACAGAGTGTGAGAGAACGAGGAATGCTTTAATAGAGTTAGTAAAGAAGAAAGAAGCAAAGGAGCACATAACAGAAAAGAGAGAGAGAGAAAAGTAAAAGAGAGAAAGAAAACGTTGTTGAGTTGAAAAGACGAGATCCAGTTGTTCTAATGACTATTTAATAAGTTCTAGGTATCACGCCTAATGCTTTCTTTATCGCAGAGAACTCGAGCTAAGTAGGGTATGGTTGAGTTTTTGTACTTACTAGTGCGAGCATATAGTTTCCTATATAGGCTTCTGGTTTGCCTGATGAGATACAAGGGGAGAGTTGTGAATGAAGAGGGTGGTGTGAGTTAGATAGAATGGATTTAGCCCATTTTTCACATGAGTCCACGTGTCTGTCGACCAGGATATTAACAAGCTGGTTAAGTGGGACGTTGCTCACCCTGCTGACAACCTTTAGCATCCGGTGTAATAAGGTATAGTCTTTCTCCAGTAGCCCGGGAAAAACTAAGTGGGAACAATACAGAATAATAGGCAGAATGCACGAGATAACGAGTCGTAGGAGTAAGGGTTGGGTTATTTCAGAATGTCTTAACTTCTTGATGTAGAAGGTAAGAAGGAATATTTTCTTAGAAGTCATCAAGATATGAGACGACCAGGAAAGATCAGTAGATAGCATGACGCTTAGATATTTAATTTCCGACTTGATTTCTATTTCAGTGTCATCTATGTTGCACACCTCGTGAGTGCTAACCAGTTTGTTTAGGTCAGATTTGTGCCTAAAGGTGTAATTGACTGTTTGGCATTCGAAATACATGTTATGCACATTTTGAAATCACTGTCCGTCTTCTTGTGATAAACATAGACGGTTTTTAAAACGTCAACATATTAATCCGTTATCAAACATGAAACAAATTAAATCACTACAAATTAACGTTTGGAAATCAATCTGGTACCCACTAGTGACTGGCTACCGGATAACGTTGCCTGGAGTTCTAGTGAGAAGTTGTGACCAGTGAGGTCCACCGGTTGAAGGGTGAGGACAATTATCCGCCGATGACATTCGCTAGTGTTTGCGCTAAAATCACGAATTGGTAAAAGTGAGAATCCATAGGCCATTTAGTTGGGTCACAGTGGCTGAATGGTTTACAAGATTGTCTTGCAGCAGGTAAGATCCTGGCTTCAAACCATGATGGGTACTTACTGGTGAAGAGTCCCAGGTTTGGACGAAATAGCTGTCCAGTACTCGCTGATTTTCAATAGTTCTCCAACTGGTACTAATCCGTGATTAAACTTCAAAGAAACATAAAACAGTTGAACAGTTTAGCATTACCTGTCAGCAACTAACTAACCTTGGCATAATCCGTTGTCACAGAATCCATCTCTATATTGTAGCTCAATATTTGATAGATTAAATTTGCAAAATCTATCAAAAGTTGGACATCATTTAGTTTGGCGCTCAATTCTAAACCGATTACCAGCTTTTCAGACAAATGAATTTTTTGAATCTATCAGAAACAGAAAACAGAAATGATATGTATCCACATGATGTGTGTTTTGTTTTTGACAGTCTATTACATTTTGCTATGTGTATATGGATCGATATTTCATTATAACTGACAATATGCTTTTGTCTGTCCACTAACTAAATAAACAATGTATGACCTTATTATCACATGGCATTACAACCAATCATAGTAAGACGTTATCTTATTGGTTCATGTGTATTAGCCATTTTCATATATACTCTTGCTTTATTACTCTTGTTCACACACGTTGCGTACATACGTACGATTTCACTCACACTCTTGTGTGACATCTATTTTCCTTGTCTGGAAAATACAAGTATCATCGTAAACCTGGTGGTCTTCTGATTTCCCTCTTTCCGCGTCAGGACTATTAACTACTCGACGAGTACATAACAAAAAAGTATTGATTATGTATTATATATATGCATTAGTGTCAGTGGACAATAATCTCAGTAGAGAAGACAGACAACTACAAAGCATCTTCACATTATTCTTGATCAGTTTTATTCAATCATTCCAACATACCTTAACTTTTCTAGCATATGTTGTGTTAATAATAGTAATCAAGCTTTATATGTATTTTTTTGGTGTCTCCGTAGACAGGCATTATTCAAAGCGTTACTATTTATTAATGGGGATCACTCAATTTACGGGATAGTTTGTATTCCATTTTGGTTTTAGACCATGTCTTCTTAGGCTGTGCCAGTATCTCTGGTGTTACATTTTCAATCAACACATTTCTGTTAGATGCCTTAAGGGAGCTTTATTGATTTTTATAAGTCAGATTCTAATTTAAGGTTATGTTAGCAGCAGAAGATATGCACTCAACTTCTTAGCACGTTCATATCTATTTACATAAATTAAAGCTAAAATTCATTGACAATCTTACCTGCGTATTCAGTAAATAGACTTTATTGCTATAATTATTTGAATCAAAATCTCCAGTCTTTTGAATAAATAAACAATGCCATAGAATACAAGTTGCAAGATGTTTCAATAGTATGCTTGAACAATGAAAAGCGTCTGAATTTTTCATTCTGTAATACATAGAATTAAGCATTTATTATAATTAGTATTTGACAACTTACTTTAAACCAGTTAAGTGAGTTAGCTTTTCATCGTCCAATTTATCATTGTATTCAGTTAAATATTCCCATAATACGTTCATTGTTTGATCATTAAGGCAGGATAGTAGATTACGTCGACATGCCGACTAGATAATTAACGAATAAAGGATTAGTGTGATAGCGCGATATGAGATATTTTTTAAAATTCTTTTATATTCCAAATGGAGTATAGAGTTCAAGCTTGAGCTTTGAAGTTTCAGTAGCATCAGTGTTTTTTCTTACAGGGTGGGGTTGCCGGCAACACGCCTAACCTTCCCTCTTTACCGCTGTAAATGCCGGCTTAGAGCGGCTTAAAAAGGTGTCAGCCAGGGGTTGAACCCCGTTCCAAATGCATTCTTGGCGACCATTTTACCGCTTTACCACCGACACACCCTGAAACAAGATAGTTGTTGAAACAGTCATTTTACCTGTTGTATACACAGATTCCTTCGTTGCCAACTAGCGCGCGGTCCGTGTCCGGCCGGAACAATCTTATAGCTTACCTAGCCGGTGAAGAGGGACAATTAGGCTTTGAAGTTAGCAATCCCAACCCATAAAAAACAAAATAACATCACTGCTACTGAAACCTTAAAGCTAACGCCTGAAGCCCTATATTCCATTCAGAACACAAAGGAATAAAACATAAAATAATAATGATAAATATGGAGAGCGAAACCCTAGTAGAATATTTAAAATCTAAGCCTCAATGTATCAGTTAACGAGACAAATCTTTGTCACTAATAATCCTTTGCTGCCGTCCTAATAGAAGACAATTAGAAGCCAGTTGCTTTTCCGATATTCAACTTATAAACTTTTTGATGTATTTGTGTTCTCTGAGCTGGATAATCTATTTGTGAAGCTTTCATTGTCCTACTAGACAACATCTTCAGCGCATAGTTCAATTTGAAGTGAGCTTATTATTAGTCGTCTCTCCTGGTGACTTTGAGGGAGATTGGTTGTTTTTGTTTATTTTCATACCCTCTAGGCTACTTGTATTGGAGCTGATTGTTTCCTTGACTTGAACTCTGACTCTTTGTGTGTGAGATCTTCTCCTTATCAGTTGGTAAATTTTGTCTATCTCGATGTGTCTATTGATTGACGATTCACTGAAATTCCAAGCTTCTAAAAATTCTCTAGCATTCTTGTTGTTTCCTCTGTCTATTATTTGAACGGTGGTTGTCTGTATGTAGTGATATGAGCGAGGGGGTGGATGTTATGTCTTTTGACGGCTAGCTTATGTTCATGGATACGAAGACGAAGGGGACGTCAGCTTTGGCCAATGTAGTTGTTTTTCGCAGTTCTTACAATTTATTTTGTAGATGATGTTGGTTTTATCTTTTTTCATTGTTGTCTTTTGTTTGACATAAAACTGAGTGAAGTGATTTTGTTGGTTTGTGTGCGACGTCAATTCCTAATGGTTTAAAAAGTCTTGCAGTGATTTCTGAGATGTCCTTTAAATATGGTAGGGCGATTTTGTTTGTGCTTTCTTTGAGGGCATTCGATTTGGTAGGTTGGCTTTGGGTATATGTCTTATGATGAAATTCCGTTGGTCGTCCACGAGATATCTTTCTTCAATTTTCCTTAAGATGGGAGTGCTGCAATGAGTCCTGGCCCTCTTGAATAGCGTTTGTATACAATCCCTTTTGTGTGTTATTGGGTTGTCGCTGTTGTAATTCAGTATCAGGTTCATGTGAGTTGATTTTCTATAAACTTTAGTTTCTAATTCCTCTGTGGTTGTCCGCCTGACTAAGACGTCTAAAAATTGGATTTTGCTGTCGGATTCTCCTCTTGTGAATTTGGTGTCGTTCAAGACGTTGTTTATTAAGTTGTGAGTTTTATCCAACTCGTTTCTTTTGAGTATTACAAATGTGTCATCTATGTAGCGTATCCAAATTTTGGGATTGGTGTTTGGTAGGATTATGTTTTCGGGCAATTGGAAAACTGCTTCTGCAATCGAACCTAATATCGGTGATCCCATGGATGCTCCTTTATACATTTGGCCGTTGAATTGAAAGTACGTTATTAGGCCTAAGTTTATACATTCCATCTAGCTTGTCTGCTGCATTTTCGATTGTTGTGGAAGGTGTTCGTCGTTGCTGAGTAATCAGGAAATTAAAACTCGCCAAAATAATCTCTTCGCTGAACTGTTTGTTCATATTTTCAGGCAGTTAATAACACTAGTGAAAGTGTTGATAAAAAATATGAGCAAAAAACGTCTTCATGATACACATATTTTTCTGCGACCACAGTGAATTCCACGACAGTAATATGTTTTACACGCAAATATATTGATGACAACAAGTTGAATGCAAAGATGCCCTCTATATCTAGACCCCCTTACTATCCAATAGCTAATGGGTTAGCTGAAGTCCTTGAACCCGTCACCGGACAACTATCTAGCCATTCCCTCCATGACACTTTCTAATATATCGAATGTATACAGGATACAAATGCTCCGAATAAGTATATGTGGTCTTTAAATCCCTTTTTGGGAGCTTTTCATTGACAGAAACAATATGATTTATGTACAATTATATATATATATATATATATATATATATATATATATCAGAAAAAACTATAACATTTGTAATTATGCATTAATGATAGTAACTAACCTGTATCATATGACATAATGATGTGTAAAAGCATAATGAAGTACACGCCAGTATTGGTTTTGTACTGTAACCTAAACCAAGCTTATGTGAACCTAACGGTTCACCTTTTTCATTATAAGCTGCAACTGCAAACGCGTATTCCTCATTTGGCGTCAAGTCAGTTACTTTTATGATACAGGAACCATTGTTACTGACCACCTGAAAAAGATTTTTAGAAATACAACACCTGATGATCACTAGATAACAGTTATTTTGTTACTAAGTGTAACAAATATAACTAAATAATACGGGTTAGTAAATATGTAATATAAAAGCTTTAGCAACAGCTATAATAGCGTGATCTAGATAATACGCACTGTGCAATTATTTCCGCTAAGTGCTTCAATTCCTTGCTTAATTTAATACTGGAATTAAGCCAAATAACACTGTATTCTCATCAGTGTAAAGTGGTATGTGTAGGTTTTTAAAATGATCTATTAAATGTCAGACAAGATACTTACACTTAGAGAATTTGTCAATTTTTCGTATCACTTTGACAAGTTGAAATAAAGGATTTTCGTACTACAGTGTTAAGCAAACTGCAAACTCAACAAACTTGTGCAGATGAAAGAAATCGTTTCCTCATCTTTTACTGAATGTCGTGAAGAAATAGAGGATGAATTCCACAAAAGCTACTATAACCAAACCATATGTAAATGAAGAGTATAAGAAACTTTACAGGGGAAATAATGATCAAAATTACTTACTTTTTGTTGTTTATTCATGACTCAAACTTGATTGGACAAGAATTCTGAAGATGAGGTGTGCCTTTTTTCATACATATATATACCTTTGGTATTTTTTGATTTTGATTATTTCGATGAAGAAGTCTGACCAAGTTTTCTCAACGAAGCAGTGGAACTATTCATTTCAGTTTCGAGAAGGTTTCTATTAAATATTATTATGATTATTGTTCCCTTGGGTTCCTGTTGGAACATAGGGCTTCAACTGCACGTCTCCACTTGATTCTGTCTTCTGCTGTACTTTTCACCTGCATCCATGTTAGTCCATATTCTTTCAACTCCTCTTCACACGATCTCCTCCATGTCACCCTTGGACGTCCCACTCGCCGCTTCCCTTTCGGCCAGGTTCCACTTGAGCAATAGCCTGACGCGCGACGTCACCAACCGGCCTCCTCAACGAGTGTCCGATCCATCTCCACTTTCTCCTGCATATTTGTTGGGCGATTGGTTCTTGTTTTGTTTGCTCCCATAGTTTCTTGTTGGTGATTGTGATTCTTTCCGGCCCGGCCATCTGATCTTCAGTATAGAGCGAAGACAGTTGTTGATAAAGGTCTCTGTGAGCCGCCCGCCAAGTTTCTGATCCGTATAGGAGAACTGACTTGACGTTTGTATTGAAGATCCGAATTTTGTAGTTGATGCTGAGTGACGAAGATTTTTAGATTGGTTTCAGGTTGAGGAATATGTTTCTTGCCTTCCCGATTCTCGATTTGACATTCTGTGGTAGTAGAGCTAGCTAAAAGTGACTGCACACAAAAAGTGAAATAACAATGTGCTCCTGAAGTCCAGTGTTCCTCTGGGAAGTCAAAAGACAGTGGCTAGGATAAGGATCCGTGAGGCATGCTTCCTATTATTGGAAACTTATCAGCCTGATCTCTATAGAATAATGGTATCCTCTCTGAGATCAGAACCCATTACCCATGTAGGCATCTACTCAAGGACTTCATTGGCCAAAATGAGGCTCATCGACTTGGTTCAGATAAATCAATAAGAAATCACAACTATGAATAGATAATATGAATCTTTGGATTCATTATGTGAGCCATAGTTCGCTCAAACAAACATGTCAGTCTCATTCTAAATATTATAGTTAGTGCAGTCTCGCTGCTATTGTAACAACAGAAGACAAGGGCCGGTCTACAGGTTGTTTATTGAGAGGATCAAGAGATATTTATAGATTTTTATGCGCATTATTATTAGTGTTATTGTTAGCGGGGAAGGAACCTCTCCTGATTGGTTGTTTTCTTGCTTTACTTGCAGTACTTTCTGTACTGCTTGTGACAGTTTATTAGAAAGTTAAGCTATATATCTGTGAATCGTATTTGCACACGTTAGGTCTGCTGTGATTGGTTGGTGAGTTCCTCAAGGTTAAGCTTTGTTATTGTTTTTTTCTCATAACCCCGATGCAGGACGTAAACATTGACGTTAATTGTTGTGTACAGTTTTGGCTTGCAGACAGCCTTCACCACACTATTACTAGGTCCTACGCGGGATATATTATGGACATCAGGAGGTATGCCACACCAAAACAACGAAGTGTAAGGAAAACAAAGGTAGAATAAGCACTCAAGTGATCCAGTGTTGGATTGTAGGTCGATGCACTTTTAAGTCGACAATTCATTGGTAGTGTAGCCTCATGACAAACCAGTAAAGTATTTAAACATAACATACTATTGACACCAAATGTTAGCTGAAAGCATCTGCGTCGATGGTCCAATGGTATGATGCCTAGTAAATACACGCGTGGTTACAGTTCAGTTTCCAGTCGAAGCACTCCTAACGTCGCCTAGAGCTTAGTAAGCTGGGGAATGAAAGACTGGGCGTTATGCTAACAAAGCGCACCGCGTAAAAAGAAATTCATGCTCTTCATAAACTTTAAATCTTGGAGCGCTATGTTCACTTGGAACGCAAACGAATGTAATCAGTAAGTCTATAAAATCAACTTTGTTGTCACTTTTACTGCTCAGTATATCATGTTTTCACTTGTTTGTTTTTTATATTATCAAAATAATGTATTATATTCCTAAATAGTATCCTTCCCAATTAACAACTGCGAACTTGTATCACAAAGAAAACAAAATGTAATAAATTGATGAAAAGAATTTGTGTATATAAAGATTTTGATTACCATAACTCCTGTATTAGTTAGCTTATTGTCAGTAATATGAACTTTCTGATTAGCTACAAATGTTTGTTTTCCATAGATTGCATAGAAGTGGACCTGAAAGGTGAAATAAACTTCATTAAAGTTAGAAAATAATTCACTTTAAAATTGGTATAACATTTACTGACTGAAAAATGTCAGGATATCTATAGCGAATTATTCATAAAAAATGACAGTTCCGTATTACAACCATCCGTTTGAACGTGCTACCATACCCAAAAGATGTCTAGACACCATTTTATAACATTTCTTGTTCATTATGTTTGTAAGCTATTATATATTTATTTATTATTATTATTCCTTCGCGATCGTAGTGGAACATAGGGCTTCAACAACACATCTCTCCTTTGTTCTGTTTTCTGCCATTGTCTCCAGCTGGGTCCACGATTGACTTAACTCTCTCATCTCTTCCTCACACGATCTCCTCCATGTCACCCTAAGATGAACCACTCGTCGCTTCCCATTCGATTCCACTCAAGGACCTGGCGTGTGATGTCATTCGGCAGCCTCCTCAATGTATGCCCGATCCATCTTCACTTTCTCCTACATATATGTTGAACAATCGGCTCTTGGTTGGTTTATTGCCAGCCAGAGTTTCTTGTTACTAACTTTTTCTGATCAGTCATTTGATCTTCAGCATGAACCGGCAAAGACAGCTGTTGATGAATATCTGTAACCGGCTGTTGAAAATGCTCCACGTGACACGCCAAGTTTCTCACCTGTATAGAAGAACAGACCGACTTGACATTGGTGTTGAAAATGCGAATTTTGGTTGTTGAGTTCCTCATGGTTAGGCTTTGTTTTTGTTTTTTCTCATGACCCCGGTTCGGGACGTAAATTGTTGCTTACAATTTTGGCTTACAGACAGCTCTCATCATAGTATCACAGTGACCTCAAATGATGAAATTATTACAAAATCTGTCTACATAAATAGTTGACAAACAAGTACTTCATTTATTGGTACATTTATTTCTTCAACTGTGATGGCCGAACGCTAGCAACATAAATGATTCGATTTCTGTACTAATCAAATAATTCATATTTGTGGATTTCCATAAACTTTCTGTATAGTACAAAAGTACCTATAACGTTACATAATACATAATGTCAGTATACTTTTATTTGTCTAACGACAATGGAAACCTATTTATACCATCATGAATCTACAAAATGATTACCACTCCTTAGTTCTTCAGTTACCGAGAAGTTCTCTAAATGTATTTAATTTTGAAATAAAAACATTCCGTTACAACTTTCATCTTCTCATTCAAAACTATAACCAATTTGAATCAAAGTATAAAAAGGTGTTTTTAGCTGTACAACGAATAAACGAAACAGTTCAGATTATTATTATTCATAAAAGTAATTAACTGACAAGATAACTATGATTCTTTGCTAGAGTACTCGCTGTATGAAAGTGTCTTAAATCAGATATATATTTATTCATCCCATTTACTTACCGATTCTCCAGTAGATGGTTTCCAGTCTTGTGTTTTAAACACCATTGATTTCCCAGATTTTGTAACCAATAAGGGTGGTGGTGGTCGGTCGAACTTCAAAGCATCGCTTCTTGATTTTCTACTTAACTCCTGTGACTCATTCAAATCATTGGAGATTTGGGTATACCTATGTTCATTGGTTTGCAAAGGGTTAGTTTCATTCTGCCATTTAGTGAATAGTAATTTTTCAGCAGTCTGTTTTATCGAAAGTGAAAAGTAGTGGAAAGAGTGTACTAAGAAAACATGGATTCTCAAAATATTTCAGTAGTAATCTTGTATGGAATAGAACTGCAAATACTTTTAAAGACTTGTGACCAGTTGAAATTGGTCTTTCTTTTTGTACCAATACTAAGTGAATTATTTCCAGGAGTGAACCACACCTTTAACTTCAATTTTCATTTCAAGATTACATCTCTATAATAGGCCACTGTCACACATAACAAATTAGTGTAACATCTGTCCTTTTTTTCCTTTACGTTCCCCTTGGAACGTGGGTCTCCAAGCTACAGTCTAGAAGTTTCAGTAGCAGTGGTGTTTTCTTTTAATTTTACGGGATGGTGTTGCTAGTATCATGTCCAACCTTCCCTCTGTACCAGCATTGTTACTGGATTGACTAGGTAAAGGAGTGCGTCGGCCAGGCATTAAACTCAGGATCACCTGCGTGGTCGGCGAGCACTACTTCTGTGACACCGACGCACATACCTGCCCTAAAAACATATCATATAAAAATGCTCTAGTTGACTCAAACACACTTGGGAAAAAAACATTTAAGTAGGTCCTGGACCTAATTAAAGTCATTTTAAAATAATAAATTTCTATTTTTAGTGACTTCAGTTAGCACAGTTCAAAACCTGTCACAGTACAGCTGACACATGTATTAACTGAGACAATGTGCATTGACAACTTCTGTTAGGACTCAAAAAATGTCTGAGGTTCTCTCAGATGAGATATTTTCCTTTCATTTTCACTAAAATGATTAGTTTTCAACGTGAAACACTGAACAGAAAGGAAAATCACACAGAGATTAGTCAGAATTTATAAGATTTCGAAGTTAGAAGGGACTGAATGCAGATGCATAATTTTTACAATCAAGTCTTCTGAAGTTATCAGTACTAGATGTATAAAGAATCTTCCTCACAGATAATTTTAAATATTTATTTACTTTTTTGGGTTTTCTAATTTTAAATCTGTTTACATAGACGTCAGTTTATACTTTCGAATTTCCGTCACCACTTCTAGTTTTCTTGTAATACTTGAACTGTAAATCTTTCGTATTAGGCTTTTTAATTTTATCTGCCTGTTTTTTTCTTAACTTCACATTATTTATCCATAAGTTTCAAAGTTATGAGGGGCGCAGGAATTGTTCATTTCTTTGTTGAACGCGCTCAGGGATACTATCCAGCCTGCTTAGCAAAGATGTAATGTTGGTGTGTCTATAGTTTAGTAATAGCGGTTAGGACTCTCGCCGACCACGCACATGGTCCGGGGTTCGATCCCCGGCCGCCAACGCACTCCTTTACCTCGCTAAGCCAGAAATAATGCTGATAAAGAGGAAAGGTTTGGCATGAGTCTAGCAACCCCATTCTGTAAAATAAACACTGTTGCAGAAACTTCAAGCCACTAGAAGCCCTATGTTTCACTGGGGAATGTCAAGGAAAAAAATAGAAAATTTGATGAACTCAGGCAACTCAGATCCACTGTAAAAGTTCTATACACGATACGGTCACAGCTCTCAAAGGAAGTGAGATCAAGGCATCTGGACATAGTTGAAGTACTAGTGACCTGGAAATTCAAGCCATCGCTCTGTATTCGAAAGAATTATGTTTAGCCTTAGTCTTTATCATGGCCAGCAAATCAATTAGTCTTCTCACAAATGTTTTATCCGAACCTCCTGTTTATTTTTGTTGTTATTTCTTTTTATTGCTTATTTTTTTAATCGTGTTGTTCGACGTAATTTGATCCTCGGCCTGCAATAGACCTGAAACTTTCCCACTCCTTTATTATATATATATATATGCAAAAATGAAGAGTCTAGTTGATGAGTTAGTCAAAGATAAAATATTCTTCGCTTCAACTGTCTTTTTAATTTCCCAAGAGTACGGTGTTGCGTCGGTGGCGCAGAGGTGGAATGCTCACCAACCACGCATGTGGTCCGGAGTTCCATCCACGGCTGACGCCACTCCTTTATCTCCCTTAGACCCTTGTAAGCCCGTCAAGGGAGAAGGTTGGGCGTGAGGCTAGAAACCTTACCCCATAAAAACACCACTGCTACTGAAACTTAAAAGCTGACACCCGAAGCTCTATGTTCCATTCGGAAGGCAAAGGAATACAAAGAAAAACCTAGGAATGTAAGTAGTACGGTGTGGTAATTCTTTTAATACTGACGCTGAGATTTTATTTCTGACCAGCTATAAAACTTTCTTGACCATAATTCAATCATCTTAGGCCCAATAATTCAGGTCTTTCTATTAGGGTTTATCACAAAGGAGGACCCCCTGTGCTAAGAAAATGACCACATACTTAACTCCGTGAGCCAGAGGCACAGCGCTTAGGACGTTCGCCGACCATGTACATGGTCCGTGGTTTGATACCCGGTCACATGCTGAAAATTCCTTACTTGTATCTAAAATACCGTGTGAAGTCAAGCTATGGTTAGAGTTTAAAAAATAAAAAGAATTATATGCATAACTTATTCAGTAGCAGTAATAAATTTCTTTGTGGAACAGAAATAATGTAACATATTCTCTACAAGATTATCTTGGAGTTTGGTCAAAAAAAAATTACAGAGTGAACCCTGTAGTGTTTCCTGCGACTTGGTTAAATTCTTTATTATTCTACAGACAGAAAACTACGAGTAAAATACTGAAATAGTCATGATGGTTTTTATTTCATTTAACTTTTGCAAAAAATTCATACCTGATAATATTTTTTAGCCTTTTCATCATTCACTTCCACTTCCGCTTTTAGACAGTAATGGAAAACTTTTGATATAAAATTTCGGCCACATTGTTTGAGTAGATTTTCATTTAATTCATCGTTTTTCTTCTCTGCTTTATTATTTGTTAGATCATTTGAATCGCACCAAGATAACCATTCTGAAAATATTCAGCAAATTATATGAAAGTGTTGGCATGACGTTCAGAAATTACAATCTTCTTTGTTTTGTTAGGGTAAAAGTTTCTCTTATAATTACTGGTATATTATGTATTCTAGCAGAAATATATACTTGTGTAGGAGTGTGCAATTACTAATTATGAATTAGGTTGCACACATGAAAGTTTGTGTATAAGCTGAATTTCTGTTGGTTTTACAGACTAAAATTGAATTTTTACAAAATGACCTCATTTTACATGCTCTAAATTTCAAGTCACTACTACTATTACTATATTTACTATTATATAAAGGAAAAATGAAGATGGATCGGGTATATCTTGAGTAGGCTGTCGAATAACATCGCGCGCCAGGCCACTGTTCAAGTGGAATCCCATTGAGATGCGACGAGTGGATCGTCATTGAGAGGGTGACGTGGTGGAGATAGAGCGAGGAAGACATGAGGAATTATGGGCAATCGTGGACCCAGCTGAAGAGGACCACAAAAAATGGAAGAAAAAGTGGAGATGTGGTGCTGAAGTCCTGTGTTTCACTTAAAACCCAAGGGTATAATGATAATAATAACTATGATTAAAGACCTTTTAGATTACTTCAGGATATCTCCTTAATTTTTCACAGTCTACTGTTTTCCTCTTTTTACCACATAGTTCAGTGTTTTCGACAACTAACTGACATAAAACTCTTGACCTATATTTCTACTTTTCATAATGTTTTAAAATCATTTTTCTGCTGAACAGCTTTGATGATAATTTAATAATTCAGTCATCTTTCCAAGCCTATGTCTTTTGTACCTTAGATCGATTCATGTTTAAAACATTTACCTGACATGTAATTCCCTGAAACAATAATCTGCACGGATTTCAAACAAGAAGCTCTATCCACAGAATGACTGGACTTTCACAACCTCACTTTCTTTTTACAAAAACTTTGAGCGTAATTTTAAATTTTATTCTAATCAATTTAGTAAAGTACGGAATACTTTTTAATCCTACTACTTTGAAATATTTTTTACCAAACTTTTGAGGTTAGCGAAAAGGCACCTATAATTTCTGCGACTAGTTGAATTGTGGATGAAACTGCACCAATTCAAGATACCACACTATTGAAAAGCACACATGAAAATGAAGATAAGGAAGGCAGTGAAACTAAACTGGACGAGGATGTATGGGGGTGAGGATTTTCAGAATCTGGATGACAAAAAGAAATGAGCCTTTAATAATAGATGGTTGGAGGCAATCGGCAAGAAGCCTTGGATCTAGGTTTTGTGTTAGCTGGCACTCGTCAGCAAGGCGTATCTGCAACCTTGAAGGGACTCTTGTCTCTTCTGAGATTTTAACCGGCGTCACCCAGTGCTGCAGTCAGCGACGTAACCTTTGAGCTATTCGGGCTCGCGATTGACCACCTGTAGGACTGTAGTGGATATTTTGATTTGGCACTCGTAACTAGTGTGATGTGTCTAGTTCTCTCATTGGTGCAGACTGAATTCTATCAGTCAGACTTCTCCAGTTAGAACAATTTTGAGACATGAAGCTAAGAGTCTCTGGTCATTGATCCTTATCACCCCACAGAACAAAACAGGAGAATATATGCCGGACAACTTGACTAAAACCAACCTGTCCACGTCCTCACGGAATGGTGCCATTTCTTCGTCTAAACTCGTATATTTTTTCAATTTAACTGTGTTTTATGTAATGTAGCTTATCAAGGAATGTGATGCTTTAGTATTCTTAATCTTTCATTGCTATCCCAAAATGATTCAATCCACAACTTCATCGGTTGACTTGCCGTTTTTACCCCATAATTTATCTCTAACCTCAGTATTAATAAACACTAGAAACTGAACATACACATTTATGATCAAAAACTGCTAGTCTTTTAAACTTTCAATCTTCAACAACCACGTCTCGCTAACTGAAAGAATGATGCGATGAACCTCTGCACAGCAAACATATTTCACTACTTCACTGTCCATCATAAAACCAAGAGTTGGTGCAAACCACTTCTGCAGCACCATTTTACATGTGATAGTAGTTAGTCGCATGTCAGACACACACAATAGATCCTGAAGAATCGCTTATGTAGATCACTGAGGAAAGCTTTCTTTATGGCTGAGCTACGTATCAATTTCTACAACTGACAAATGATCAACGGATGTGTGAAGGATAAACTGCCGCTTTGGGCGTTTCATCAGCGGCCCAACCTAGAAAAACAATGCCGTTTATGTAAGGAATTTTTTCCTGATAATTAGTGGATTTTTTGAAACACTGAAGTTACACAAGCTCGAATCTATCAATAAAAAACGAAAACAATGGTATCCTTGATGAACATCACTCGTAGTAGTCACTTTAGTTGACAACTTTCCATAAAGTTTCACACGACTACATGAGTATGAGTGAAGCACGTTGATTCGCCCAACTTCTCTTTTGTATACCCCAGTCAGCAACAGTGAGGGATCTCTGGCAATGAGCGAACCAACCAGGAACCGATTGCGCAACAAATAGGCAGGAAGAAATGGGGATGGATTGGCCATACTCTGAGGAAACCATCAAGTGACATCACTAGACAAGCCATTGCTCGAGTGGAACCCGAAAGGTAAGCGGCGGATTGGTCGTCCAAGGGTGACGTGGAGGAGGTCATGTGAAGAGGAGATGAAAGCATGTGGGCGGACTTGGAGCGGAGTGAAAAAGTTGGCAGAAAGCCGAACGCAATGGAGACGTGCGGCTGAAGCCCTATGTTCCTCTAGGAATTAAAGGATAGAATAATAATTATTATTTAGTTTTGATAGTGTCAGACATTCAGAGAGAAATATAAATAAAAACTTACCCAGATTCCGAAGTTTCCAACGAATATTATGTTCGAACCAAAGTAGTTCTACTTGTATTTCTGATAGACCATTAATCTCCAAGTTGTGAGTCTGTCAAACAGTTTAGATTGTAGAGAATTAGAGAAAATCCAAAAGTAGTATAATTAGCATATAGATCTTGAATTCAAGGCAGGTAAATGTTTAGCAGTCAGATAAGTATAGAATAGTAAGGCATTTATGAATATTGTGGAAGCAGGCCACAAACTCTGATGATGGAAGGAGAGTATCTCAGTAAAAAAAGCTGTTTTACTGATTGTTACCTTATCAAAATTAAAACATTCCACTTACCTAAAACAAACTCAGAAATATTTTGACGTACAGTGGATAATAAATGTATGAATTATTACTTGTGTATTAGCGATGCTAATCTCAAGTATTCTTAGACAAAACTATGCTAGCTGTAAAACATCTGTTTCATACTATAAAAAAATATTCTCCAGTTGTTATGTATTCAAGATTGGATTAATTTGAAGTGGGAATTGATTACATAGTGACATCAACGGAAGAACTATACTACACATATACTCGTATAGCTTACAATGTCGTCAGTAATGCACACCTGCCCTTTCGGGTCATCGGATTCCTGTCCGAAGATATAATCAGTACTGCTAACCATGTCCGGTGACGAGAGTTATTTTTACCATTTTTACTAGACAGTTGTTAAGATGTACCGAAAATTGAAAATTATAGGCAACTGGATTCCAATCGACTTGCTCACTTGTGACGTACTATGTGAAAACATTCATAGATATGGCTTTTTCTGTATGGAGTATTCAGTACACTATAAACAGAAATTTTTCTATACTGACATCGGTTTGGATCAGGTGTGATAAAATCAAACTGCACATATATCTAGCTGCATAAATTTTTTTAAATTTAGAAATTTAAACGAAAGTAAGAGAAACGGTTGATATAGCTGCTGTTGCAACCAGCATTAAAGGTCCTTTGAAATTTTTCACTTAAGAAACGTTAATGTTGCCAATAATACTCATTCTCTAACTATTATGGATATATAACTGTGGAACCTGATGAAGAAGTTATCGTAAAGAATATTCTTTGTTTTCGATTAGTATTCTGAAATGCCCAATGTACATCTTTGATCAACTGAAAGAGATAATTGTCTTAAAGTATAGATTTATCTATCAGCCTTGTAGGGCACCAGTATTTAGTACAAAGAAAGTTATTTTCTTTATTATTAGAACACTTATTCATGCATGCACCCTTCTGCTTCCACTGACTTTCTTTATCAGTGATTTCTGTAATTCAAGTTCTTGTGAAAAGTCTTCCTGATAAAGCCAGAAATTTGAAATAGAATAGTACTTATTTCTGTTTGATTAGACAAAACTCATCGAAAATAAGTAATCAGAACATATCTAACACAAATAGAATTTTCAAGTATTGGTTTTGTAGGGATTTTGTTTGATTGCATGGAGGATTTAATCATGAGCTGACATCAGTTAGAGAACCACTGGAAAACCTGGAGTACTGGACAGCTGTTTCGTCCTAGTTTGGGACTCTTCATCAGTACGCACCCACCGGGATTCGAACCCAGGACCTTCTGGTTACAAGGCGAGCTCGTAGACCATTGAGCCACTGGGACCCGATCCAGTGGTCCTTGAATTCTAACTTCTGCCAATTCACGACATAGCGCGACCACTTCGAAATGTCTTCTTCGATGAGTTACTGCCTCATCTTCAACCTGCTCTACCCTACTGGTCACGGCTTCCCACTAGAACCCCAGGTTAACTGCCTGAATAGGGCCAGTCACTAGTGAGCATCAGATTAATTTTCAAGTATTGGTTAACCTGGGGTTCTAGTGGGAAGCCGTGACCAGTAGGGTAGAGCAGGTTGAAGATGAGGCAGTAACTCATCGAAGAAGACATTTCGAAGTGGTCGCGCTATGTCGTGAATTGGCAGAAGTTAGAATTCAAGGACCATTGGATCGGGTCCCAGTGGCTCAATGGTCTACGAGCTCGCCTTGTAACCAGAAGGTCCTGGGTTCGAATCCCGGTGGGTGCGTACTGCTGAAGAGTCCCAAACTAGGACGAAACAGCTGTCCAGTACTCCCAGGTTTTCCAGTGGTTCTCTAACTGATGTCAGCTCATGATTAAATCCTCCATGCAAACAAATAGAATTGTTTAGTTTTTTTCATTAGACACTAGTAAGTAGTGTGAGATGTGTTTAGAGATGCATAAAGCATGTATGTTGGGTCTCCCTTTTGCCTCATAGCTATATTAAGCATTCAACTGATCGTCCTTAATTAACTGGAAGTAAATGTCATTCGTTTGGTTCCCTTAATAAATTTCGATAGAGAAAGAAAGACCAGATTTTCAGTATAAAATGATATCATTCTATTTTACATCTACTCATCATCTGCAAACTACCTGAAATTACAATGGTTATAAATAATAACACTTCACACTTCATTTTTTGAAAGGTAATAAGGTGAACGCTTCCGGAATATCAGTATTACAATTTATAGTTTAAGTTATCATCAATTTATATACCATCAAACTATGAAGAAAAAGAAAAAGGGGTGGGGTGAGAGAAGACAGAAAAGAGAAAAATCTAATAAACAGTGTCAACATGGCAACTCAAGAAGATCAAAGTTCATCAATTTGAAAACTTGCTCAGTGAGTTGAGCCCACTAGTAGTATGACTAATCACTGTAATGAAAGTGATATGGTTACCAAGGGAGTCAGAGATTGACTACACTCTCTTTCTGTGTGCATAAGTTTTGTCTGTGACTTTTGATTGCAATTGCTTCAGCAAATCGTAGTAGATTCGCTGTCCTTTGTATGTTTAATATTTTGAAGGATTTGGAAATCTCGACAAAATGACCCGTATCCACAAGGTGTCTGGTAATTGCACTTTGTAAATATCTGGTTCCTTTTAACCATAAGTTTCTTGGAATATACTCTAAAATCCGGATAGAAGCCCTTCTTTCTGTCCTTCCAATGTGCTTGCTGCCGCAGGTACGCGTAAATTTATAAATTCAGTTGGAGATAACATCAGCAGGGTACTTGTCCAGTTTCGATTGGCTTCTAGAGCATGTAGTACTGTATAGTGTCAACAGATTGGCTGCTTCTCTTTCTCATCTCTTTCTTTGCTGTAATTTAGGATAAATCCTTTTGGATAGCCATTTTCCTTAAGGCATTTTTCAACAAAGCTTAATTCTTCTTCTGCCTTGTTAGGCGAGCATAACTTCCTGGCCCTGTCGTACAGTGTCCTTACTAATCCCCGCTTATAGCTCATAGGGCAGAAGCTGTTGCAGTGAAGGTATCGTCCAGTCAAAGTTTCTTTTCTGTAGATGGACTTTTAGACCATTCCATCGTTTCTTCTTTTTACATTTAGGTCCAAGAAATTGAACTCGTCGTTGTGTTCGTATTCTATGGTGAATTTAATGTTCGGGTGGATCTGATTTAGGCGGTCAATTAATGGCATAGATAGTGATCCTATTTCTACAAAAATTTGATATGGAAATAGTCATTACAAGTCATCTAAGGCCCTTTGTAATTATTTTAAAAAGAGAGTTCAATGTATATATATTTATAACTGCTGAACTTCAATATTTCTTCTCTACACCCTGTGGTTAAAGTGAAAAGAATGATCATCACACAGAAATTCAAAATCCCCACCTTATTTTTCAACCTGTACGCATTTCCTTTAACTTATATTCATCCAATGATAACACTGCTTGAGATGGCCTTAAATTGGCAGTCTGTTATTGATGTTATATGACCTGGTTAGCAGCTGGGTCCCTTAACTCATCTGGGAGAGCGCTGGAAGAATAACTTAGAGGGAGTTGATTGAAATCCTACTGCAACCTAATTCATTCTTTTAAAGAAAAAAATAAGTTGGAATCTGATATGTATCCACATGATGTGTGTTTTGTTTTTGACACTCTATTATATTTTGCTACGTGTATATGGATCGATATTTCATTATAACTGACATTATGCTTTTGTCTGTCCACTAACTAAATAAACATTGTATGACATTGTTGTCACATGACATTACAACCAATCATGTTAAGACTGTCTATTTATTGGTTCATGTGTATTAGTCATTTTCATATATACTTTTGTACTGTATACTTGTTCCCACGTTTTCGTACACTAAGTACCATTTCGCTCACACTCTTGTGTGACATTTATTTTCCTTGTCTAGAAAATACAAGTATCATCGTGAACCTGGTAGTCTTCTGATTTCCCTCTTTCCGCGTCAGGACTATTAACTACTTGACGAGTACATAACATAATTGGCGACGGGGAAAACTCTAATAACTCACTCAGCAGCAGTCCATAACATAATCCACAAGCCATTGGATCGAGTCCCAGTGACTGAATGGTCTACGAGCTCGCCTTGTAACCGTAAGGTTCTTGATTCGAAACCCGGTGAGTGCATACTGTTGTAAAGTCCTAAACTCTCCTGTACTGCCTAGTTTCTCACTCGTTTTTCTAAATGATGTCCGCTCATGATCAAACGTGTAAAAACATGCAGTATAAATTTGATGTTACACAAAACACTTACATGATTCATCTGTAGATACATCATTCTTTTGCTAATTGTTTCACGTGCCCAATTAATTATACTTTTCATTTTCATCCAAACATTAGTCCATATATCAATTATACATACAGTGGGCTTGTCATTTCCAGTGAAATCTTTAAAGGCTTGAAAAAATATCGAATAAACATTTGTCTGACTAATAGTTTCAAATAATACAACTAACTTTTTACTCTATTCTTACACATGGCTTACCTAAGAGTCATAGAAAGCTCGGAATCTACTCAGAAAAAGTTGCATTCATGATAAATTTTTCTAAATTATGTAATAAAGTTAGCCATAAAAAGCTAACCGATGAAGGAAAACTGATGTTTGCGCAGATTTTCATTAGTCCAAGTATTAACACATCATTTAGGAACGTAACATTATATTATATATATATATATTATGATGTGTGAAGTATAAGCAAATTTAATGGAGATAAGAAGGTTTCTTAGAATCCTAAAGGTGAAAATTCGTCAGCCATACTGTAGTGTTTCTAACCATTTATTCTTATTATCCCAGTGACGTCAACGGCACAACCTAAATTCACCCAACTCACGGAATCCTTCAAAGTAAAAACGGGAGTAAGACAAGCCGGCTGCCTACTATGTCCAATGATTCTCCTGACTGCGGTAGACTGAAACATGCGACAGACAGCGAGCTGGGCATCGAGGAAACAGATATAAAATGGACGCACACAAAAATCCTGGAAGATCTGGACTTCGCCGATGATGTATGTCTGATTTCCCACAAACTGGAAGATATGCAAGTGAAAAGCAAAATATTGGCAAAAGAAGCATCCGGAGAAGATAGGACTTCATGTGAACATAGGGAAAACAGAGGTGATGAATTTTCCTGGCCAACAGCAACGGCAATAACAGCAATCAGCCAGCATAAATGGGAGAAATCTGAAAGAGGCAACCTCCTTTATCCACCTACCTGGGAAGCATCATTTCAACTACAGGCAGAACTGATGAGGATATGGCCAAAGTGAGGATTAGGAAAGCAAAGCAAGGTTTCGTTACTCTCAAGACAGTGTGAATGTCAACAGCACTCCTCAGCATGAAAAATAAGATCCGGATTTTCAACTGCAATATGAAGTCAGTGCTACTTTATGTTTCAGAGACTTGGCGCGCTATTAAGAGCACAATCAAACAAACTACAGACTTTCATCAACAGCTGTCTTCGCTTAATACTACCCGAGATAATATGGGTAGAAAGGATCAGCAACAGGGATCTCTGGCAATGAGCGAACGAACCCATCAGGAACCGATTGCGCAACAAATAAGCAGGAAGAAATAGAGTTGGATTGGCCATACTCTGAGAAAACAAATCATCAAGTGACATCACACCGCTCGAGTGGAACCCAAATAGGAAACAGCGAGTTGGTCGTTAGTGCAAGGGTGACTTGGAGGAGGTCATGTGAGGGGGAGATGAAAACATGTGAGCAGACTTGGAACCAGGTGAAAACTCTAGCACAGAACCAAACGCAATGGAGCCCTATGTTCCTCTAAGAACTAAAGGAAACAGTAATAATATAATTGTGGTTCAGACCGATAATCACTGAATACATTCATTGATGTCATCACTGTTTGATGCAATTGTGTCCAACTATTTATTCAATCTTATTTTATTTTAGCTAATACTACTCGTAAAAGAAGGTACTGGAGTGGTTTGTGTAGAGCATGTTCTAGCCACATTAACTGATGGATATTTATAGCCCTATTGACTGATTTACGTTATTTACCTAGCATTGTTTTTCATCATAGCATCATTTGTAACGTCAACTCACCAGACATCTGCAACTGATGAGATATATATTAAGAGTTTAAAATCCCCTTACATCTTCTAATTTAAGTAATCATGATTTATAGCTATCAGGCAAAATGAATGAAACCGCTGAGCAATACACATTCTATTTTCTCCGTAGCCTGATATAATTCCTAAGAATACAAGAAGCGGAGACCGAGCACTTCGGTTCAATCAGTCGACGGGAATATCTCAAATTCGATGAAATTAATATGACCCGTTGCACAAGAGGTGGCTCTCGTGGCCCAAGTGGATAACGCTTTGGCGTTTGAAACTATGGGTACTAGGTTCGAGCCTCGGTGGGAACACCATCACTCACTGAGAAATCCAGGTACATCCAGCTGACGAGTCCCAGATAGGGCGAAATGCTCATCCTGGATTCCACTGCTAGTCACCGTCCAACAATTAAATACTAATTAAATGCCCAGACATCGTCGAAGCATCTGCACAAGAAACTGACATGTCAACCTGAGACCGAGCACTTCGGTCCAATCAATCGACGGGAAAATCTCAAATTCAATTAAAATACAAGAACAAAAGCCTTAAACTGATAATCAGTATGGAATTCATCAGGTTTTCGCTTGACTTTAGGTGTTGATAAAGACAACTTTTTATGATGAACCAACTGAAAAGAAGCTATCTGGTTGTTTTACGTTGTTTCAGTATATAACACGCGCACTCAAATATACAACAAACCGTTTGTTTTCTTAATTTCAATAGAGCGCCGATGGGTATTCACAAACAAATACTGGGATCAGACAGGGTTTACACTGTGAAATCCTAGATTATATACACAACTGCTCTAAGTTAATAAAACAGAAGGTCTATAATACCTGTTAAATTTCAAATTAGGGATATATATATATATGCTTTGATCAAGACTTGATTTAGAGTTTCCATAACTTGGTCGGTGATTGGAAAAAAGACAAAAGTAAAAGGTAAATTTACGAAAAGTCCCAAGATATTTAAGTTCTTAGTTCCAGCATTTTTCTTCAAAGAACTGCTAAAAACTTCTCATAAACGGTTACTTTTACAGATCTTATAAATAGTTTAAGTAGTATTCAATTATCATCCAACTTACTCTGAAAATCACTCGTTTTTATTTGTAAGTTTAATACTTTCAATAAAATATTGATATTCATACCATCCAAAAATGTTTGTCTACCAGTTGTCTCCTGTGATCTATGTAACGTGAATATCCTCTGCTCGAATAACTCCATAATCCATATACTGTAGAATGTAATATTCGAGGACATCAGTCCATCAGCTACCTCAATATTCAGCAATTCCAGTGTGGCTCTAATCAGACTTAACACATAAAGAAGCTGAATAAAATGAAAATAAAAATTTTTTTAAATGTTTTAGCTAGTGTGAAACAAGACATGAAATTATCTAGGAAGAATCCGAATAGTTTATTCTGCTTGCATGACAGACTGTCGATAAGAAAATATATTTTAGCGAGAACTACTTGTTGAAACTTGAGAAACGTTGAGAAAAGAAAACCGAAGTATTACGACAAGACTATCTTACAGGTTTATTATGCTGATGTCACTGGCTTTTAGTATTAATCTCCAATTTTATACCACGTTAATCTTAAATGTTACTTAAGGGGTCAGTTCAGACAATTATTCTTCTTTTAGCCAGATATGGCAAAGGAGATTTTAAAACTTAGAATAAATGAAAACAAACAACCTAAACTACTTAAACCAAATATTCAATAAAATAGGAATATTTTTACACTCAAAAATGATAAAGGAAGTGTTTATAAAACACCCAAGTTTAATCACGGATTGACACCAGTTAGATAACTACTGAAAATCAGCACCGGACAGCTATTTCCTCCTAGTTTGAGACCCTTCACCAGTACGCAGCCGTGACCGCACCAGAGACTGAACCCAAAACCCTCAGGTTACGATGCGAGCTCGGTCCCCAGTGGATTCATGGGTGCACACTTTTGAAGGGCCTTAAACTAGAGCTAAACAGCTTCTCAATACTCTCTGGTTTCTGATGGTTCTCTAACTGTTATCACACTTGACCCAGTTAGATCCTTACAAATTATTCTTTTGTTGTGTTCACCCTCATGCTATATAGCAAAAGAGATATATTGCTAACTGTTGTTGAAAACTTCATTTTTGCTTAGTATTAACAACAAAGACATTAAGATTTGTAGAATGTTAGTCCCCCCCCTTGAATTTAAAGTCATATCATTCAGTATACTGTCAAATGTGTCACCTTTTAACTGTCTGACTACAATTTGATAATTCTTTCAAAGAAACATTCTAAAGCATCGGTTATTGTACTGTAATTTGTTTATAGGTTCATAAACTCTTTCATGCTCAAAATATTCTCCCAATGAGACATTTCATAATTAGATAGTTCAGAGTGTTTCTATCGAAGCTAAAAGTATAACAAAAGCAAATTCATGGGTATTTTAAAAGTACAAAGCTTTATAATGCAATGAAATTAATGATTACAAGGATAAAAATTTCGTGCTACTATACTTGAAAATAGAGAATGGGGAGTTTTAACGAGAGAAAAATATATCTTAAAGGTCTTCTGCTTAAAGAAAGAAATTTCAGGCATAACTCTATTTCAACCTAAAAATAGCTTCATCATTTAAAACAAAACCACCTTTAGATAAACTTATTATCAAGTAATAAACTCACTCCAATAAAGTTTATTTTATTCTTGTCGAAATATTCAGGTTTAATTCTGCTATGTATATACCACTTTTGACATAATGTGCGACAATATTCCCATAGTACTAGAATAACATCAACAAGAATTCCGGAATCGTACAAAGTAATCTATAATGAAGTCAGAGATAGGCGTGAAACACTGATATCTTACTTCAATTTGATCGCCTTTATGAGTTATATTTTCTAACTTTTGAATTAACTTTAAAATTCCTTTTTGTAAGAAACCTATAATTGTAAGGGACTTTCATTTTACTTACCTAGTGGAGTCATTCGATTTGCATTCGCTTCCTTATCACTTTCCAACGAACCTATCGCCTGTAATAATAAATAAGAAGTTGAATGCTCAGAATAGGATGATATCATCAGTAGACGTACTGAATAATGGTTTAATGAACAGAAATTCGGTCTCAGTCTTTGTCCTACCTGTCACAACTGTTTGATTCCATAGCTACCGCATTGTATTATTATTATTCCCATTAATTTCTAGAGAAACATAGGGCTTCAGCCGCGCGTCTCCATTGCATTCGGTTCTCTGCTAGAGTTTTCATCTGGCTTTAAGTCTCCCCACATGCTTTCATCTCCTCTTCACGTGACCTCTTCCATGTCACCCTCGCACTAACGACCAACTCGCCGCTTCCCGTTAAGGTTCCACTCGAGCGATGGCGTGTCTTGTGATGTCATTTGATGGTTTGTGTTTCTCAGAGTATGGCCAATCCACCTCTATTTCTTCCTGCTTATTTGTTGCACAATCGGTTCCTGGTCGGCTCGCTCATTGCCAGAGATCCCTGTTGCTGATCTTTTCTGTCCATCTGATCTTGAGTGTTGAGCAAAGACAGCTGTTGATGAAGGTTTGCTGTTCGGAATTGTTCGAATTCCCTTCGTGAATCGACAAGTCTGTGATCCATGTAGAGTAGCCCTGACTTCACATTGGAGTTGAAGATCCGGATCTTATTTTTGATGCTGAGTAGTGCTGTTGACCTCCACACATACTTGAGAGAAATGAAAGCTTGCTTTGCTTTCCCGATCCTTCCATTAACATCCTCGTCAGTTCCACTTGTAGTTGAAACGATGCTTCCCAGGTAGGTAAAGGAAGTTGAATACAAACACCGCATTGTATTCGGTTGATCAAATTATTTTTTCTGATTGAGTCAGAAGGATGCTTATTTGGCTAGGTGAATTTTTGGAGTCAAACACCGTCCTTGTTTTCTTCATCTCCTCTAAATTTCCTTTGTAACTACAATTTATATTGCTACCTATTTTCATCTATCATGGCTCCCAAATTCCTAAACAAACTTTTGGGGTTTATTATTGAGTATTACTTTCTGTCTTACAGGTCTTAAATCTTTATTTGCACCTTTTCACTATTTAGATGAGTCCCTCGACTTGATCATTTAAACTACTGAATAAAACCGCTTTCATTCACTTAATGAAGAATAAGTTAATTTATGCCAGTATTCAAGACACCATCTGTTCTCTGCCTTATCTTACAATATAACAGAAGAAATGATGTTAGTTCAAATTACTCATCAAAAACAGTTAGCATAAATATACACCTAATAGATTAAAGACTAATTCTTATCTCAGGAGCATCCAGTTTTAAGTAAAGCGGTTTCTAGGTTTAATTTCTACTTTGTATTTATACATTTACTTCTGGAATTGTTGGCGTGTCCCTTTCGCTATCTGTTTTCACTGATACAGACAACTAAAATCATTCAGTTGCTGCATGCTACATACGGAGATTGGAAACAAATCGGCTTCTCAATACACCGTCTTTTATGACATACAAAATACTCTAGGCTTTCATTTCAGTTATTAACCTTACTCATTATGTTATGCCTAATGGCATAAATCGACTTCAATTAATACATCCCTTTTTGGTTACTTTCACCAGAACTTTGGCTGCATTATTATAAGAAAGGTGCATCGGCGGTACAGCTATAGAATGCTCGCCAACCACGCATGTGCTTCGAGATTTGTTCCCGGCCGGCGCACTCCTTTACCTCGCTAGGCCAAATAAGACTGGTAAAGAGGGAAGGTTGGACATGATGCTAGCAACCCCATCTCATAAAAATCAATACCACTACTATAGAAACTTCAAGCCTCTAGCTTGCAGCCCTATGTCCCTCTGGGAACGTAAAGAAATTTTTAAAAAATATAAGAAAAAGTCACTAACACTTGAGCATAGGATTAGAAAATAATCAACACTGATACATTGTCGTTAGTCTTACCAAATTTGATGTCTCTTGTTGCACAACGTTTTTACTTAAATTAACAGTTTGACTTTCTGATATATTCAACTCCTCGCCAGTCTCATTTTTCGTAAGTGTTCTTTTGGATAGATGTGCTGAATGCATAGCGCGAAGCAATTCCAAGGTTTCAATTTGTACTTCAATAAACTGTATAAATTCTTTGGGCGACTGTTCTTCGATCATTTCTGACAATTTTTTCTGTCAATAAAAATAATCAGGTAGTTTATATGGGCGGAAATTTAGTTCGAGGCACATACGGCACGATGTCGAACTTTTACTGGGTTATTATAAAAATAAACTTTTAGGAAAACAAAAAGAAAATTATAAACTAATATGATTTATTTGTGTGTTTATCTAGTTTAGACATCCTCTTAATCTGATAGACATGTTTTGTTAATGGATCAGTCTGACGGCTTACTTGAATCACTGGGCTACCTGAATTTTCATCTAATACAATGCATAATATTTCCCTAATTCTTGTTGGTTAAACCATTCCGTTAAATCCTTTGGTCATAAAAATGTACTCTTGAACATTTTTGATTGGCTTTTAAACTCTTGGTGGAAATTTCATGGAGGTGAAGGAAAAGTACCGTGAAGGATTATTCTATTGCTTCTAATAGAATAGCACTGAATCACATTTTATTATTATAGGTTGCTATTTTAGTTGAAGATCCTCCATGAATATCAAATGTTATGCAGTAAATTATGCTAGGAATTCTGTGACCAGCATGGTCCATCCAGGCAAGTGTGAAAATGGATTTCCCGCTGATGACATTGGTTGGTGGTTGCGCTAAATCACGAATTGGTAGAAGTTAGGATTCATGGGCCGCTGAATCGGGTCTCAGTGGGTGTGTACTAATGATGATTCCCAAACTGGGATAAAACAGCTGTCCAGTAATCCCTGATGTTCATTGGGTCTCTAACTGATATCAATCCGTGGTCAAACTCGAAAAAACAAATTTAATCCTCACAAACCAACTTTTGTAAAAACAAAACCTTATTCCGGAATAAAATTACTGTTATTATATTTACTCTTAAGCTTTATATGGTTGGTGTATACATAAAGTAAAAGAAAACTGAAGTTCGATAGTGAAAAATATTTCTAGGGTAGAGGAAGGTGTACTGTTTATTGTCTAACCCATGAATCTACATCACGTAGTCTAAATTCACCAAAATAATGAGAAAATACGACAAAAAAAACTAAAACTGTATTGGAATACGGAGGCATAGTTGATAAATGGAGAAACTATGTTATAACTCTTCGAAACATAGGTTAAATTACATGCTGTAAAATAAATGGTAATTCACGACTAAAGATGGCGCACAGACTAATATCCAGAGATTTACAGGGAAAAATTAAGATTAGGAAACAACAAAATGTTTCCAGGATACACAGCTGAAATTGAAAAGTTTCTTCAAATCTAATGCCTTCTAGAAATTATCTGTTATGAAGTATGCTTAGATGCAACGTACACATATGTACACTTTGTAGAAATGTTTCGTTAGTAGTATTGTGGTCAGAGCAGGCTGCTAGCCAATTGGTAGACATTAATTTACGTCAATGTTTATGTCGCAAATATTGGTCGTGTGAAAATATGAACAAGACTGATTCAACAACCAATCAAAGCAGACTTGGCGTAGGTAAATACAGTTAACACATAGATGATCTGGCATTCAAGAAACAGTCACAATGAGATGCAAGGTCAACTTTCTGTGAGAAACAACAAATCAGAAGAGTGTGTTTGTTTGCTTGAATAAGCTATAATAACGTACATGAAAATATATAAATACGTGTAGATTTCCTTACAAAACTATCTGTTGCCTTCTGTCGTTACAGTATGAATAACTGAGCTCAGTGGAATCTGAGTTCATTGCACACTATTTTATAAAATATAAGTAGATGACAATCAAAATGACTGACACTTTTTTTACCCTACTCGTAAACATAGTTGACCCATCTGTCTATTAATTCTCCCTGAGGGGCTCATGTTCATGGAGTTGTACTTTATCGAAATCCAGCCACCTTTAGTTTACCTTCAATATAATCTTAGTACAGTCAACATAGCACATTAGAAGAAATGGTGAGCAGTGGTTTGCATCACACGCCCCAGCTAACACAGATTAGCTGGCTTCTCGACTGACTATCAACCAAATGCTAAACAGAATGACTTTTAGGTCATGATTTGTTAGCTTGATCATAAGAATGCAAAGCTCGCTGCACTGTAAAGGTAGTCCTAAACATTTCATCTGGAAATACAATGAAAACTAGACAATAAAATCATTCAGCTGTGAGAACATGACATTAAAAAGCGTTTTCCTTGAAAATCTGTTTGCTGATATGGTAATATTCTTCGTTAAAATGAATAAAACTGACGAAAAATTAATATCTGTCATTCCAATATCCCCATTACTATAAAAGTTCTTTTCATTTCACAAGAAATGAGAAAAACAAACAATACTGCTTTTCATGGAGGATTTCATCATGAGCTGACATCAGTTAGAGAACTACTGGAAAACCAGGGAGTACTGGACAGCTAGATCCTGGGTTCGAACCCCGGTGGGTGCGTACTGCGGAAGAGTTCCAAGCCAGGGCGAAACAGCTGTCTAGTGCTTCTCTAACTGATGTCAGCTCATAATGAAATCCTCAATGCAATCAAACAAAATCCCTACAAAACCAATACTTGAAAATACTGTTTTAATTGATGTTTCCCTATTTAATGCTAGTAGCTTCATCAAAATAATACTAAACCGGAATTTACGCAATATCAACTTGTATAGAGTAACTTAATCACAGTTCTTCAGCATGAAGTGATTTTTGCGATGTCAAGTGGGTGAATCAGAAAAAACAACAAACTATGTGCAAATTGTTGGATTTAATAGGCGTATAAAATTATAAAACAGTATGCCCAACCTTCCCTCTTTACTTTATTTATTTTATTTTTGAATACAGCTTGATTCTACACCGTATTTTTGGTACAGGTGTGGAATTTCCAGCATGCGATAGCGGTAGCCCAAATTTTGCAGGCCGACCATAGATTCAGGCGTGCGTCGGCAGGGGTTCGAACCCGAACCATGTGCATGGTCGGCGTGAGTCCTAACCACTGTGCCAATATACTATAAAATATATATATATATATGCTATATACTACGGCTGGGTGAGTATAAGGAGTGCGTCGGCTGAGGATTGAATCCCGGATCATGTGCATAGTTGGCGAGCATTCTAACTCTAAGCCAACGACCCACATTTTTCAAAATACAAAATGTTAACTTGATTCAGACACATGTTCCATTATCATACCTATTTCTATGTTTTTGATGAAATTTAGGAATAAACATGAACCATTTTGATGGATTACTAGTAAAATTCAATCTTATAAGTGTAGAGAACTTTTTTAGGTAAACCAGACCGTCAAACATTCACAGGTACACTTGTGCCAAATACTGTCTGTCTTCTTCAATGTCAACTGCTGACAGTGAGTAGGTGGTCCAAGAGTAGAATCCTCGCCAGACACGCGTACAGTCCAAGGTTTGATTCTCGGTCAACAAACTACTAAACCTCGCTCAGTTTACTCGGCGACAGTGATTCGGGAAAAAACGAAAGGTTGGGTGTCAGACTAGGAGCCCTATTTGCACAAAAAACACCACTGCTACTGAAAATTCAAAGTTCAAGCTCCAATCTCCATGTTCTAATCGGAACGTCATGGAGTGGAAGAAAGGAACAGTAAATAGGTGAGAATTTGTTCGCCTAAATCAAGTCATCAGCCAGAAATGCAAGCATTATTCCTTCCACTTTCAATGAAACTGTAGAATTCACACTTTTCCCTTGTTTTTAGTTAGGATAAGGTTGACATTTTTAAACTTACTTGAAGTAGAGATAATGTTTCTCTTGACATAAAATCAAAAATGTCATATTGAGCACAGGCATAAAGAACTTGAATCAATTTCATCACACTGTCTATTGTACAGCTGGCAGTCATCACTGCATTTGAAGATGCTATTAATTTGTCTGTATTTGAATCACCTCCTTCAACAGAATTTTTGTAATGGCATTGATGACGCACTAAATCCGGTTGCCTCCACTTCAGATACTTTGGATTGTCCAAAGCAATTGTGTGATTAATTAAATTATCTGAACTTCTTTCACCGTCTACTGGTATCTTCCGCATTACACGTGTTCCAGACATAAAGTTTGAGACCAATTTTTTAGAAGAATTAGCTATGGGAAGAAAAGGAAAGCCTAATGATGGAAATTAATGGAAAAAAATGCCAATTACTTCTTTCACCGACACTAATTACTGAAAGTTATCTGATTTCAATTAATTGTTTGTGCCGATTACTCAGTTATGATCAGTTAGTTCCATCTTATCTAATACTAGATATTAAATAAATTATGTCTATTTTGCTGACCCTTTGATCTTCATTCAAAGATATTCATCATAACAGACTGACTTCTTGGCTTAGTCGATTGGAGAAAGTTCTCGCCTCCTATAACTCGTCAGGAATATGTATGTACTTTCTTAAAGATAGGAAACCCAACTGACAGTGAATAAATTTGCCATTGTCACTGTTCGTTGTAACCATGCCTAACTACTTTCCAGTCTAATCTTATGTTAGCTAACATTAGTTGTCTACTTCCAGTCTCAATATTGCCTATAGCGTTTTTACACCAAACATCGGTGACTCATTGAAGACACCTGTGTTCAGAAACATGTGATTCCTTTCTGTATTAGACTATCAATATATTTCTACATGTGCGTCGGTGGCACAGCGGTAGAATGCTCGCCAACCACGTATGTGGTTCGGGGTTCGATCCCCGGCCGATGCACTCCTTTACCTAGCTAAGTCAGTAATAAGACTGGTAAAGAGGGAAGGTTGGACATGGCGCTGGCGACCCTCTCCAGTAAAAATAAGCACCACTGCTACAGAAACTTCAAGCCTCTAGCTTCCAGTCCTATGTTCCTCTGGGAATGTACAGGAATAATAGAAAATATTTCTGCATAATACACTTTCTCTTCAGTGAGTAACTGGATATTTTACTATTTCTAAATCCCACTCAAGATTGCGACGACTGGCAAAATGAGCAATTATTGCTTCCAAACTTTTGCAGCTTTCCACATAATTCTTTTGAAGAATACATTGAACAATTCCACTCCCCATACTTAATCTACAGGTCAGTTCACACTAGTCTGTACATTTGACAGAGGAAGATTACGTGCCAAGTATGCACAAATATTTCCTTGTGACTTTGAGAAGATTCTGCTTTTTGTCACTATATTAATCAAATGACCTGAAGAATGAAAATCGAACGCAGTCACACCCACCGCTATATCTGCAATGTAAAATTATATAATTATGATGACATCAAACATCCTTGATGGAAACGACAGGTTTTCGTTATTTCAAATGACCATTCTCCTGAGACTATGTGTCTGTGTGTAGCTTTATAAGTTCGAGAGAAGTGTCCTAATTGGTGTTACATGCTCTCTATACATTCTCTTTACAGTTAGATATTGTTGCTATACTTCTTGGAGGATGCGATCGAATAGAGTTGCCACATCAAAGTATATGAAAACTTACAGGATTTCATCATGAGCTCACATTAGTTAGAGAACCATTGGAAAACCTAGGAGTAGTGGACCGCTGTTTCGTCCTAGTTTAGGACTCTTCAGCAGTATGCACCCGCTGGGGTTTGAAACCAGAACCTTCTGGTTACAAGGCGAGCTCGTTTACCATTAAGCCAGGTAGATACTTACCTAGGGTTCTAGTGGGAGGTCATGACCAGTAAGGAGCAGCAGGTCGTGTGTGAGGACAAATACTTACCGAAGACATTGGCTAGGGATCGGGCTATGTCGTGAATTGGCAGAAGTCAGAATTCATCGGCCATTGGATCGGGTCTCAGTGGCTTTATGGTCTATGAGCTCGCCTTGTAACGAGAAGGTCCTGGGTTCGAATCCCTGTGGTGCGTACTGCTGAAGAGTCCTAAACTAGGACGAAACATCTGTCCAGTACCCCCAGCTTTTTCAATGGTTCTCTAACCAATGTTAGCTCATGATGAAATCATGTTACCAATCAAATCCCTACAAACCAACACTTGTATATGGCAACTGTTGGCAACTGGAAAGAGAGAAGGTTAATATTTGACCAAACCACCTACTTTTTGGCCTGAAGCATATCTGTTTCTTTTGAACTTATCCTTGTGTCCATCATTAAGTATCTCTATGACTATGGATCTCAGGAACCTACTAGTTAAACTGACTCACAAGTCATTTCCACAGGAGGAATTCTCTTCCTTGTATAACATGTGTATTACTTCATAAAATCAGCTTATTTTATAAATGCAATATAATTCGCCTATATCCAAATGAATAATTGACTGAAGCAATGTGACTTACGGTAGATGAGCTCAAATGCTGCAATAAAAAGTTCACAATATACTTCTGACATTTCCCAGTCTGATGGATCTATAGGTGGTTTTGGAGTTACAAGACTTCTCCTTTCTCCAGGATTTAGACTTAACGCCTCGAGAATAGCTAAAATTTGAGCTGATGAACTAGGAAGTAATTGACACAAATAACGTTCAGTTTGTGTTCTAGGCCAGGAATGCTGAAAGTGGTAAAAAAAAATATTTATAAAAGATTACAAGAATAAGTTTTATAAATGTACAAATGCATATACTTGTATATTTTCTAAGCAATGTTAAGTTTCATTACTGGATTATACTAACAAAATAACCTAGGAAATATAAAAAGGTAATTTAACAGTCGAAATCTGAATAACAACAGTCACAGGCAAAAATGTCGTCAAAATATTTAAGGAAACCATTTCAAATATTATTTCTGTATAAGATGCTGACTCTATAGAATAAAGGGAAAAACTGACTCATTAAACTGTCTAAAGATAATACTGCCTATTCAAATGACATAAAAATTGGTGAATGAAACAAAACACCTATTATTATTCCCTTGGGTTCCGAGTGAAATATGGGGCTTCAACTACACATCTCCACTTTTTTCTATTCTCTGCTGTCCTCTTCAGATGGATCCACGATTGATCACAATCTCTGATCTCCTCCTCCAACTCACATGATCTCATCATGTCACCCACGCATTAACGACCCACTCGTCGCTTCCTATTCGGAATCCACTCGAACGATGGCGTGCATTGCGCACGGCGTCATTCGATGACCTCCTCAATGTATGCCTGTACCATCTCCTTTTTCTCCTACATATTTGTTGAGCAATTGGCTCTTGGTTGGTTTGTTCCCAGTCAGAGTTACTTGTTACTCATTCTTTCTGACCAGTCATTTGATCTTCATCATGGAACAGCTGTTGATAAAAGTCTGCAACCGGCTGTTGGTGATGCTGTAAGTGACGCGTCAAGTTTCTGATCCATATAGAAGAAGAGACCGACTTGACATTGGTGTTGAAAATTCAAATCTTGTTGTTTATGCAGGCTGAGTGCAGAACATTTCCAAACTGGTTTCAGGTTGATGAAGGCATATCTTGCCTTTCCAATTCTGGTCGGCTTTGACATCTTTATCCATTCTACCTGCAGTTGAAACGACGCTTCCTAGATAAGTGAAGGAGGTAACCTCTGTTAAATCTCTCCCTTTGATGGTGACTGGTGCTGATTTCTGTTGTTGTTTTGGTTCGTTAGTTATCCTGACCTATTCCGTCTTCTCCATATTCACCTGGAATCCTGTCTTCTCTGTCAGCCTCTTCAGTCAGTTTGTTGGTTTTCGCCTGCAAGTCTTCGAGTTTATGTGACATTAGATATAAATCCTTCAGACACGAAATCCAGTTGTTCTAGGGTCTTCTTATCGATGGATTATTTTCTAACTTCTGCCAGTCATATAATTCTCGGAATACCGAAGTGAATTAAGTTTAGCATAGCATACGGTTTTCGAAGATAATTAACGACAAAATGCAATAAATACAGCTGACGTTTTTGAGAATATAAACCAACAGTACTTACTGAACCTCGACATCTAATCTCTGAGCAGTCATCTGCGAGATAAGTGGCATCAACATCAGGAAGTTTTGATCTTTTATTCTGTTCAGTATTGTTAAAGAAATTAATCCGCAGGCAGAAAACTGTCTAAACTTTGTGATCACAAAAGTGAACGATAGTTCCGCTATACATAAATGCCTCTTGTGACATTACGGGAAGTAAAGATTTCAGTCGACGTTGTTGTTTCTCTTGTAGTTATGCTTTTTTGTGTATCTTCGATTATATAGACTCATGAACCAAACTAGCTCATGTATTGAATTCTTGTATAGCTACCACGTTATGTGTTATTCACTTATGTCTATACAGCGTTAATAATGTTTATTTTCCTCCGGCTAACTATCATGCTAGTCATATATAACAAAAACAGTGACTGTGTATAAACAATTTGAGTTGAAATACAGTCGCTTCAGAATACGTGTTCAAGATGTATGTAATTCTCTCTCTCCATTCACTCATAACTACTTTACTTCGAAACAATTTGAAAATCAAAAGATAGTACAACAGCAAAGGAAATTAAGCCAATTGTAACAAATGTCTTCATTGAAAAAAACAAAACAATATCACTGATTTAAGACGCGCGTATGCATTTCATAAATTTACTTACTTGCAAAATTGTTGCAAACTCCACTTTTACTTTAGGCCGAAGGTAACCTTGTGGACGTTTACGTGACTCAAAAACTGATCGTTTAAATACCAATGAAGATAGCTACATTTGCAAAGTTAATAAAACGCATAGATAATTATTGTAAGTACAGAATACGAAGAAATTAAATCTAGCAGAAATTTCGGGAAACACAATTAAAAATTTCTAGTTCGACGGAGTAATTCTGCCCGTGAATCTCAATTCAGGTACATTCAGTATTTACACTAAGACTTTCTTAGTCAAAATGCATTATATCTTTTGGAGTTTCTCGATAAAATTCTTCCTCACTGTAAAGACAATTGACACTTCTTTTCTAAAGGTCATAGTGAATCTCCATTGATGAAAAACCAGTAACTTAGCCTCGAGTAATTAAAAGAAAGTGGTTATTACCAACTTATGAATCAAAAGGTCCTGGGTTCGAATCCCGGTGGGTGTGTAATGATAAAGAGTCACAAACTAGGACGAAACATCCGTTCGATACTCCATGAAGTTTTTATAATGGTTCTCCAGCCGATCTCAGCTCCTGATGAAATCCTATAACCAATCAATCAAATCCCTGAAACCCAATAATTGAATTTATGATTCATTATCTTTATTTTCATTGATGATTTGATTTGTTTTAAAACCAAAATCCGAGTGAAAATTCAGTTGCAACATCAAGATTTTGTCCTATTCAGAATTTGAATCCTTTTCAATTACCGATAAAGTATGAGCAGAGAACATGTGAGAAAGTTGACATTAAGTCTAAATATGCTTTGTGATATCCATTTATGCATGTTGAATCATTAAGACGCTTAAACTTCTTTATGAATTCAGACATTTCTCAAAAACTAGTTTCAAATATGCAGAAATGAATATGCCTTCGAAAAGTTCTGGGTGATTACAAAGAAAAAATTAATACTCAACTGGTTATATGTTTATTTTACTGTTTAAAACCCACTGAATTCAAAAGGTTAAAAATTATTTCAATTGTTCTCATTAACTGACACGTGTTAATGTAGTACAAATCAGGAAATATGATGCAAATTCATGACTGGCAATCTGTTAGTGACGTACTTCAATAGTAGCTAAATGAAATGCATCGATATATTCAGTTGATAGCAGACATTTCTTTTGATGATTTAATTGATTTAACTCAGCCAAGTCAACTAACGATTTTCTTGCTAAAGCCTAATAAATTCAAACAGAGAGGTGAGAATTAGAATTTATTTATTTATATTTAATTAAAGTAATAGTAAATATGTGCTTTCAAATTGGCAAACTTATCAACTTGTATTTGTTTAACAAATAATTGTGAATGCATGGGTATTATTAACGGAAAAGTAGAACTTGAAATCTGTGGTAGAATGTAATTGCCACCTAAAGCCTATGATGTTCCTTATATATACAGCGTTCTTCATTTATTTTTTGAATAAATTCTGATGAGCAGTCATTCAAAAAGGTATGAAGAACCGTAGAAACACTAAGATGAGTAATAAAAAGCCCATGTAGTATTGCCATACAAAGAAGGATCGGTAGAGGCCTTAAGTAAGATTCTCAGTGATGCTAGAATTAGGTGACTTTTAAACCAACTAACCAACCAACTCTCTCAGAGATAGACTTTGTCAGCTTATGGACCCGACAGATCCGACTAATAAAAAATAACAACATTTACCAAATACCATTTAATGCTATACAGTGAGGTCGATTGCATAGTTTATTCAAACTGGAGATCGGAGTCAACTAGATTATTGGAACATAAAAATTTACCTAGACCTGGGATGATTGACCCTGCTAAGTTGATTAACCTAGAAGAAAGTTCAGCCATTGCATTGCATTCACTTCCATGTAATCACAAAATAGATTGGGTGGGAAGGACAGGGTGAGAGTATTAAAAAGTAATATAGTTAGGTGGAGTGACAGAGAGGTTGATCTATGAAGCTTTGTTCATCGATCCAGTGCCGCACACGTGCAGTCGGAATAACGCAGCGCTTATACCAGAGATACGGAAAGTGGCAAGGAACAACAGAGGGAAGTTGACGAGAAAGGGAGAAAAATTTAGAAGATAAATTGTGAAACTGTGTGACTAAACTGATATATTATGAGCAATAATTTGTGCTCGAAACGTCATCTGGCTGTTAATAGTGCATCATCACTGTGTGATATTTGAAATAAACTTATCTAATATGGAATTATATGAATATTACTTTTCCGACTATAAAACTGTCTGTGCCACGCTTGAGTAATATCATAATTATGATAGTATCGTCAGTTTAAATTTTCCAGTATTAATGACAAATCACATCTGGTGTAAACAGAATAACTCATCAATTATATCTAAAAAAATGAATTAAATTTTTTCCATTTAACACAACCATTATTCAACTCTGTATAGTGCTTAGTTCACAAACAATTATTCCCACATAAAACTGATCCGTTTACAGAGTTAATTAATCAAGAAAAGCCTGGGACATATTCCTCTCTCACTGAAATTCACTCGTTAATAATTGAACGCAACAATAATCGGATTTAGGAAAAGATAACTTTACCCAAACGGATGTCGAAATGTCATGGCTGAATGTCAGGTGCTAGTCAACCGTGGACAATCAAACTCAGGAATTTATTTTCAGTCGCGAATTATACACAAGAATTCCTATTTTCGCAAAAATATTAGAAAGAACTTCTCGTCTTCTAGATTACTAAAATTTCAAGGAGAGGATTCATTTCCAATACAGAAGAATCCAACTTTGCTTTACAAAGACATACCTCAGACGCTTCAGTGCAGCCGCAAAAGTTGAGTGCTTTACAAGCAAACACAGAAGTGTGGAATTTCAATGGTAGTAAATTCTGTTCATTCCATGATATCTTTCTGGATACAAAAAAGTAAAACCATAGCAGATGCGTTGAGAATAGACTAGAAAATCTTCGACTTGACAGGACGTGGTCAATCCTAGAAAAATTTATTGTATCTTGAGTAAATTAAAATTAATATAAATCTATTACCTACCTTCCTTGATACATTCATTACCTATTAGTCTTAAGCTACTACTGACATACACTTGTTTTCGAAGATTGAGAAGAGTGAGAATGCAGTCCTTTAAACTAAAATCATGCATACAACCAGACATGAAGTCTTCAAAGGATTTAAAAGAAATTATATAGTCGATATTCTATTAGAAAACATCATAAAAGTAAATCAAACTTACCATCAAAAACTTTTCGAAACAAGATAATTTAAAGTTTTTTGAAAGAAACGCATTATTGAACAGGAAATGTTTTAAAATATCTTTTAATCTGAAAAGCAACACCATCATTTTGACCGGACATATCTTCAAAAATCTACAGAACTACAACTACTTTTACCTCTTGGTGTTTAAGCAGAAAATCAGTGCTGTCATTCACCCATCTGAGTATTTCAGCATCATTACACGTCTGAGTAATTCGTTTTATGGTGCAAAAACTGTGAAAAATTCGCCTTGAATGCTATTATACCTACATCTCATTATTGGAAAAATCGATAAAATCTCTGTCCATTATATTTTTAACACTTTAAATCCTTTTTAATAATAGTAAAAAAAAGCATGAGGACGCTCAAACGATTGAAGCGGTAAGAGGTTGTCAGGATCACTATGATGCCCACTATGCATTCAAACAAATAAGTCGAACATATGTCTAGGCTCATCATTGGGCAACTGTGGGTGAATAATCAGAAAAGACGTGGAGTTTCTTTATTTAATTTCGTTTTCAAGCACTTTGCAGTTAAACTTTTGTCTAGTATTTGATACAGGTTTACTGGAACTAGGAGACTCGTCTGTGCACATCTCTGATTTAGTGAAGCTATTTGGGTGCATCGATTACGAATTACTTTGTATTACTCTGCTGTTTATTTAATTGTGCTACGTGTCTATCGTGTTTGTCTAACATTTTAGTATGACGTACCTCGATATTCCCCTGTTAACCAGGATCTTAGGGCAAATATATGGACAGAGGACAGCTGCACAAATGGCTTACTGAGAGGATGAGTACTAGAACGTTACATGTTGACGCTTTGATTGGTTAGTCTAACCGTTCTTATACGCAGCGGCAATATGGAACAGGCGTTTTCTGCTGAAAAAAGCGTGAAAGTGGTATAGTTAGTGATGTTTGATGAGGTGCTCAGGATATTCAACCGGATTTTGTAGTGCGAAAGTTTTAACTTCCAGGACGCATTCGAATATGCCTTTAAAGTGTTCAACAATGTTACACAAACTCATTATAATGTGAGAGGCAGTCGGATTGACAGGAATAATCTGGTTCTCAGGTGCGAACGGTGGATTATATGTGCTTACTTGGTCAGAAACGGAAACGGAGGTCACGAGTCAGGCTTGGAGCACCGTAGGTGAAAATTTTAGTCTATCCTTTTTTTATCATTTTTAAGTGCATGGGCTGTACGTCAAATTTTAGCATAATCATTGTTAACGGATGTGTTTGTTGGTGATATAAGGGGTGGACTTAATCATCCGTGTACAGAAGAGTTTATGATGGTTGGCTATGGAAGACGTAAGCCCGCGGAAGTGGATAGGGTCATTGTGGATGGTGTGGTTTCGTGGACGAGAAAGTGTGTCAGGTGTCAAAAACTTTCTGAGGATGTTCTAATCCACTTTGGGGTTTACGGACGCAACGAAAACGTTTGTTGAAATTTCTTCTGTGAAGGGGGTGTTCCCGAACTACTTTACCAATGACTCCTTAGAGGAAGTCCTTAAAAACTTCTATGACAATATACAGTCGGTTAATGATGTCATAGCGCCTGTGAAACTGATTAAATTCAAAATCCCTCAAGGTGATTTTATTCCAATATCATTAAGAAGAAGTTTGCGGAAGCATTCATTAAGTTACTATAGACATGACGACTTATCGTCGTTAATCGCTATCAAAACAATCCTCATTAGAATCCATGAGTTAAAAAATCTAAGTCTTAGGAATAAAGAAACGCGGGCAATTCAGTCGCCACATAACACTGGAGAAATAGCCAAACTCTTCAAAAGTAGGTTAACTAACTCCAAATCAACATATCCAAAAATAATACACCTAGGCGGCATTACTCACGAAAGTGCTGAGGATATATGTGAGGTGTTTAGCACGCACTTTGCCAAACTGTACACTCTAGAAAATGACCAGGATATAGATTTCCCTCGTAAAACAGAAAAGTGTCTAAGCGATGTAGTCTTAAACGCCCAAGAAATCGATAAAGCTATCACAACTCTTAAGCTTACTAATACTCCCGGCCCAGATGGAATGTCTTCCGTCCTCTTAAAAAATGGTGGAAATGACATGAATCTACTTCTTCTCAAGATATTTTCAACTTCGATAAGGAGTGGAACATATCCAAATAGCTGGAAGAAATCCTACGTTGTACCCATTCACAAAACCGGACCTACAGCGGACATAGATAATTACCGCCCCATCAACATTACTTCCGTAGTTTCACGTGTGATGGAAAAGATTGTAAAGAAGCAAATTGTTCAGTATTTGCTCTCGAATGACTTAATATCCCCTTTCCAATACGGTTTCCTAAATAGAAGATCGTGCATTACGTGCCAGTTAGATTATTTCGACCACATTACTGAATGTGTAGACAAAGGTCGTTCGGCAGCAACATTATTTCTAGATGTTAGGAAAGCTTTTGATAAAGTCCCACATAAAGACTCATACTGAAACTCCTATCTTATGGAATAAGTGGAAGGCTTCTTGAGTGGATAACTTCCTTTCTTACAGGAAGAGAACAGTTAGTTAAAGTCAACCATCACTTATCAACATCCAAACCGATAACCAGCGGCGTGATACAAGGTAGTGTTCTTGGCCCTACCCTATTCATTGTATTCATAAATGATATTGTCTCTATGATCAAGTATGGCAAGCCATACCTCTTTGCAGATGACCTCAAAGTTGTCTATGATTTTGACTATAATGATATGAATATTGTTAGTAAAATCCAAGAAGACCTAAATAGTCTATGTAATTGGAGTGAAAAGTGGCAGTTAACGTTCAATCCAGCTAAATCTGGGATAACATACTTCGGACGTTGGAAACCTAGCATGTGTCTATACATGTACGGTGACCTTGTCTCAAACACAAACACAGTCACAGATCTCGGGATAACATACTCAGATCTTACCTTTACTGAACATGCAAATAAGGTGGTATCTGATTGTAAACGTCTAACCGGCTTTGTGCTACGCAACTTTTACACTCCAGAAGCCAGATTAGCCATATATAAGATATGCATTCGCCCCAAACTTGAATACTGTGCCCACTTATACAGTAGCTTTAAATCAGCAGACAGAAAAAAGTTGAAAGTGTCCAAAGATTCCTTACGAAACGCATATTAGGCTATGGTCAGCAAATAGAATACCTTGACAGATGTATTCGACTGGACTTAGAGCCCTTATGGTTAAGGAGAGTGAAGTGCAATTTATTTCTCTTATTCAAAGTTATAAGAAAGCACTGTAACAGTAACTCGTCCATAACCTGGGCTAATCCTAAATCGTATGGACTACGCAACCACAACTACCTTCTCAAGGTTAACACCCATAAACTCACCACTAGAGCTAACTTCTTCACCATTAAATATTGCAAACTTTGGAACCAACTACCCTCTGAGATAAGATCCTGTGAAAGGCCTGACAGTTTCAAAAGGAGCCTAGAAAAACATATAAACATGTCCACCCTAGCCCGCCTCAAAGATCTCAACTGCTGGTAGAGTGGAGAGACAATGGCATTTCAATATTTAACTACAGAAAGTACACTAGTTCCCAGACTAACATAATAATACTTAGTAATTATGTAGGTTCAATACTTGAAATTAGATTGTCATTAAAATACTTAAAATGATTAAAATACTTACGCGGCAAATGTTCTCTTGGTTTACCGCTATTATTTCCCTTATAACACTCAGTTATTGAGCCTAATGTATTCTTTGATAATACGAATTATGACACTGACTATGCTCTTATTATACATAGATTGATTTACTTTACGACTACCTGTAGTACAAACTACCCTTCTGTAGTACTGTTAACCAAATGATAATTTAGTTCACTAAGTCCTGCCAACCGACCTTACCTTCAGTTAATACTACCTACATTGATCCCTAACTATATTGTTCTGCTGAATCTTGCTCCACTAATCATAAAACCTGTTCTTTTTATTCTTTAAGGTTTTAACTTATTGTAAAGTAATCCGTTCATTAGGACGCATGCATACATATATAATATGTTCATAAAGATGTACGTGGAGACCTATTGGAAGCACTCATTAAGGAAGCTAGGGAGATGGAATATGAGGTACGAACATGTCTGGTACCAAGCAATATATTTGCGGTAGCCATAATAATCATAGTCTCAGAGCCTAACATCAAAAAAGGAGGGAGGGTGGCGTTAGCTGATCAGTAGATATGGTGGGGGCCACTAAGGTGAATCGCCCCATTCTGCAGGAACAGCAGTATACAATTTGAAGGCTCGAGATATTTCTGATTTTTATGAGGGCTTAGATCTTTATCTTGAAAAAGATAATAATGAACGCCTAAACAGATCATGCTTCTACCTTTAAATATATACTATTCACTCAGCCTATTGTTGAGATGCGACCATGTGGGCTCTGCATAGATTTATGGGGCATCTTATAAACTAGCTTACTGTCCATTGTCGGATCTTTAAATACCACTTCACAATGTCTTATCTCATTTATTTTCTAATAGCGTCTTTACTTGACCCTCATTATATTCCATTAAACCTAACATTTTATAGCTTTTAATGAATTTGATTCGACTTATTCTATTCCTATTCTCTGTAGGGTACGGTTGCGCACCAAATGCACAAAAAAGGCATAAAATATAAAAAAACCGGCATAAGGAAAAATGTATTAAAATCAAAAGTGGACATCATGATAGTGCAAACTGTACAGGAAGCATTATACATTGCAAATGAACGTTTTCAGCCTAGGTAGTTTCCTTTATTAATGCATTTATTAGTGATACTTGCACTTACCCATTTCATTACACTTTATTGATTCACCTTAGCACTTTTACTTTTCTAAACACAGCTTTCAATCCGTTGTAAACGTTGTACTTACCTCAATATTGGTTGGTTATCGTATGCCGACAACCACCTGATGAAAACGAAACGAAGTCGAT